TTAGATGATTAAGAAGCTTGAAGCCATTTGAGGCTGCTTTTTGCTGAGTATGGATCATTATTTGGTCGTTTGTGGAAAAGACTTTCCATCGTTTGTTAGTGTATGAGTATTAGGAGTTATTTCATGTTTTCTTTTCTTCAGATGCCGCTCTGCGATTGGCTCAGGGCGTGGCACGGCAGATTTAGGGGCGTGTCCTGCTTAATGATGGTGTGTGAGCTTGTCGAGCGTTTGATCTGGTCTGGCCCTGGTTATTTGTGGAGTGTTGGGATCATTTGGTTTGGACTGTAATTAAAGCTTTAGGTCAGCGTGAGCATAATCAAAGCAGTCTGGGTGGTACACACACACACACACACACAATGATACACACAAGCTAGGATGTAATTTTAGCACAACACTGAATAAACACAGGAGGAGGAACTAAAGTGTAAAGCACACAATTTAGAGACTCCAAGTGTCCTGGACAACAGGGTGTGTGTATCTGCTTTCGAAGTGTGTGTAGCCTGAGCCACGGTGTGTAGATGAGCTAGAGGTTGATTTTATGCCCAGAATAAAATAACAGTTACTAGTCTACACCACTTTGCAGAATATTACAGTCAGGGACAATGTATTTAATAAGGACACAAATCACTCTATGGAAGCTTGTTTCCATTACTAAGTAAAAAAAAAAAAAAAAAGTCAGAATATCGAGATATAAACTGATTTTGTTACTCAGAATTCTGAGTTTAATTCTCACAATCCATTTTTTTTCCCCATCAGAGAATAAAATATAAAAAGGTAATTGTGACTTTTAATCTCAAAATATTTAACTTTTTTATTCTTTGATGAATAAAAAAGTTCAAAAGAACAGCATAAAAAAAAATGCACAATGCATGTGTACGTGGCTTCCATTTCCACTGTAACGTAATAACTCTGTATTAAAAAAAAAAAAGTTACAAAATGATTAGATAATAACTGGATGTCACTTATAATTTTGTGAAATATTATTGCAATTTAAAATAACTCTTTTTGTATGTGAATATATTGTAAAATGTAATTTATTCCTGTGATGAATTTCCAGCATCATTACTCCACACTGTAAAAAATGTTCACCCCTTTCAACTTAAAAACGTAAGTTTTGTGGCTGCCTTAAAATTGTAAGTTAAATCAACTTAAAAGTACAAGTCATTTCAACTCACTAATTTAAATCTTGCCTAGTGCTGAATTGTTTTATTGAAGTTCATTTGACTTTACAATATTTGCTGTTTCAACTTAAGTTCAACATTTTTAACATTAATTTTCTAGTTATGATAATGTAAACTTTATTTTAGATCCAGATAAAAAAAAATATACTACAACATTTGTTTGAAACATTTAAAATTTATTTTTTTCTTGCAGTGCTTATAAACAGGGTTTTAATATTAAGAACAGTACACAACCTGCCTGTGCATGCTAATGTGTGAATGCCAGTATATGTATACAACAAGGGCACAAAAGTAGCAAAAAACTGCCAAGAAACTGTCATACAAAGCTGAAAATACACTCATACCTCATGGGAAACAACCACTGAGAAAAGCTTGAAAAAAAACACACATACATGTGCATTACAGTCCTTTTTTTTCTTGAACATTTAAAAGGAGAAAGTTGTCCTGCAGTGCACCATCGTAGTCTTCGTATTAGGAGGCCAGCTTGCACGCCCTTCTTGTGTGTATGAAGTGAGTTAACATTGTAGCATGAACAAGCTTTGAATAATATTTTATTGTAAATAAAGTGGTAAATAATATATATATATATATATATATATATATTTTTTTTTCAGATGTTTGAATACAAAAGCAACACTCGTGCCACAGTAATCACAGATTGTACAAAAACACAGAAAAGAAGCCAAAACAGTTAATTCATGCTTCATTTCAGTAATGTAATCTGTATTTCTTTGTTTTACACACACAGTCTCCTGCTTTTGAGAAAACTGAGACTGAGATGCGCTTGAATGGAATTAGTGTGGTTTTATATTAATATATAATTTATTTTAAAAAATCAAATCAATGTTGAAAACTGTTGTGCTGCTTAATATTTTTTGGGAACCTGTGATACTTTTTTCAGGATCCTTTGATGAATAAAAAGTTAAGAAAATAACACCATTTATTTAAAATAAAAATATTTTCTAATATAAGTCTTTACTATCACTTTTTATCAATTTAACACATCCTTGCTGAATTAAAGAGTTAGTTTCTTTCAAAAAAAGAAAGAAAAAAGTACTGACCCCAAACTTTTGAACAGTCGTGTATTATTACAAAAGATTTCTGTTTTAAATCAATGCTGTTCTTTTTAAATTTTTATTCATCACAAAATCCAGAAAAATTATCCCAGGTTAAAAAAAAAAACAAATAAATAATGAAGCAGCACAACTGTTTGCAACATTGATAATAAATCAGCATATTGGAATGATTTCTGAAGGATCATGTAACACTGAAGACTGGAGTAATGATGCTGAAAATTCAGCTTTACATTACAGGAATAAATTATATTTTAAAGTATATTAAAATAGAAAACCATTATTTTAAATTGCAATAATATTTCACAATATTACTGTTTTTTTTCTGTATTTTTCATCAAATAAATGCAGCCTCAATATGAGCACAGGAATCTTAGGAGCTTAAGAATCTTAAAATATATATATGTGTATGTGTGTGTGTGTGTACAGTATATATACAGTATATATATATATATATATATACTATTACTAGTACATTTTGATGAAAGATTACAAATACAAACTTGCACTAATGAATCATCTGCAGTAGGCCCAGGATCGTGTAAATCAGGTCAATGTTGACTTAAGTGTGTTTTGCTTAGGTGTCTTATGTTGCTATATGTTATATGCTCTGCTAAACCCAGGCGCACCGATTTCATGTGTTTGGATTAATGTGAACCACGTGGAGCTTCTATCTTACTGTAACTCTACATAAAACCCTCATTTTAAAGCCGGGCGTATGCAGGTGTGTGACCTCATCCCTGCCTGTTTAGTGTGTTTTCATGATCTATTAGTGACATACACAACCAAACAACTGATGCTGACATCGAGCATGAATATCAAAGAATATCAAGTGATTGATGGAGGGGAAAACACACTCTTGCTGATGGGCAGCAGAGAGTGTGCGGTACAGGAGAAATGTATACTTAAATACGCTTGCGTTTACAGGGCGGGACGTGTGCTGGTCTGGATGTGGGCGTGTGGCCCATATTTAGATCAGAATCTGTATCTTTACAGTGAGTTAAGTAAGCTCTAAATTCACGCTGCTAAATATCCAATGGCAAATTGTCAGGTTTAAGTGGTGGTTATGCATCCAAAATGCACATAATTAGAGGAAATGCTTTGCGCAGTAAGTTTTCAGACTTGTTTTTCCTCTGAACAAGCCATACAGAAACTCAGAATGCTTCAAATGTTTGCTGTTATTCTTCATGCTTAAATTATTTAGCACAGAGCACGTTTCAGAGCTCTGCAGGTATAGCAGCCAGGACTTCAGACTCTTTGAAGGTTTTTCACAAGGTTAAGTTAAATTGTCTTCATTTGAGTTTTGTACCATTTTTAACCCTAGGTTAAAGCCCTACTCAATGTAATCCTAATATGGCAATTTAGCAACAGACATCCAATCATAAACTGCATCAGTGATTGCCTCATTAAATATTCATGAGATCTGTACAGTCACATACTGTTTAGTTTCAGCATCTGAGAGAACTACTCTGTTAAAATGGTGCCTGCAACCCGTTTTACTTTAATAATGTGATGTATTTCAGAGTGAAACACAATATGTGAAAGAAAATGCTTGATTTTATCCGTCAACAATTGAGTGGATGGTGAAGTGTTTCTATGATACAGGTGTTTGGAGGGGAGGATTGAAAGGCTGTGTCAATGACAGAGCAAGTTCTTATATTTTGATGAAAGAATACAAAGACAAACAGTGATTAGTGATGAACCAGTCCAAAAAGTAATTAGGTTCAGTTTTGATTGCTTGTTAACTTCTAAATTTGAAGAAATAATACTATATTAGTGGATGTGGAAACAGATATAAAGGTTGCTTTGTTTACATGCTGTACTTGTCCAAATTTTTTTTAAACTTGTAAATAGGGGAGACCAGGGCTAGTTGTCACTTTTTTTTTTTTACTCCAATGAATATTTGTCAGAGTTGGTTTATTTTTGAAAGTCGGTTTATAGATGCAAAAGCGGAATATTTCCACTGTGTTGCAAAAATCATCACTTATAAAATTACTTTTTTTCAGTTGTAGCTCTATAGAAGACTATATATATCTTAATTTAGTTCAGTGTTGCAAAGCAGCTCTACAGAAGACAATGATATTCACTATTCACTTCAAGCTTTTCTCATTTGATAGTTTCAGTTTAGTCAAATCAATAATATTTTCTGTATATTAATTGTCTTTCAAACTGGGTTTAAACACACTATTAAGTATTTTTAATGGAAGACCACCCGGTGAATAGGGCAAGATAGATAGATAGATAGATAGATAGATAGATAGATAGATAGATAGACAGATAGATAGATAGACAGATAGATAGATATATATCACCATCCTTCCAGTTAATTGATTACATTATTTTACATTGCACCAGTATTTTACATTTCTTCCACTGTATGTGTGTAGGACGAACGTCTAAACTTGTCAAATTAAGGTGGAAATCCAGAACATGCATATGAGTGGAAAGGGTTAAAAAATATGTATTGTAATTGATTGACATATGCAAATAGATAAAGTGTAATAAAACAAACATTTAACCTGGGTTTTGCTTGTTAGTGTCTTGCCTAAACCAATAAAGCAATTCTGAAATGCAAAACATGAACAGTTTGAAACCTGGAACAAGACAGTCCAGAGTTAATCCTGTCTTAAAATTGACCCTGGGTTAGTGTGAAAAGCCCATTGGTAGCCTAACCTTGGCAGGGGCTGAGGTGCCCCGGTGTGCCCTCCCACAAGGGGCGTTATGTACGGCGGCCGTGAAACTCGACACCCGGCGCTCGCCACAGCTGCTCTCCAACTGCTATTTAAAAAAGGAAAAAGGATGAAACCTCCACTCCTGACTCCTCAAACCCCCCAAGCACCAAACATTCAGTAGCCGCTGTAGCTGTTGCCAACCCGGCATAAATGCCTACAGAACCCGGGCAGGACCGGACAGAATCGCCCGCGGATTATTCCCGTCGCTCCACGGGAGGGATTTATGGTGGTGTCGCGCAGCAGACCGGTGGGAGATCGCGCTCATTCCGCACAACGGTTTATCCGATGCATGAGACGACGGCACGCGCTCTCGGGCAGCGACGCAGTCACGCAGATTAACGGATCAGGATTTTGACTGCCGGGACAAATGAATACAAATGAATTTAGCGACCCGAAGGAGAGTCCGCAGAACCTCTCGTCTGGTGGCAAAGTAAGTTTCAGTTTTACCTTATATCAGGTACCAACAGTCACACAGGTCGGCCACCTCCGTTCCCCGGTAACACCGGGGACAAAGAGCGCTTGGTGGCTGGATGTTTGCGCAGGGCGCGCTGGTTTATGTGTGAGTTGGTGCCGGGTGAATGGGCGCTTGTTCGCGCGCGCCGCTCTACCTGTGTAGCTTGGCCAGCGTTCAGAACTGAACAGAAACAGATCTTTAACTGAAAGGATCCAGGTGTACCAGCAGAGATGCGCTCGAGCCAGCTCTTAACCATCATTACGCGCAGGCAGCATAGGTTTCTGGAGAGGTCCAAGAACTCCAAGGTCAGTTTAATACAAACCTTTTGCGCATAGACATAGAGCATATATATGGTCTTGACTGTGAATCAGGTCTTTGGGTTCATTTATAACTCCAGTGAGGAGCCGTGTACGTAGGACGCGTTCTCGCAGTTTTTTTTTTTTTTGTCAACAGGGATGGCAATGGTCCCCACTCTTATGAACGATTCCGGTTCCTTTATGGTTCCATTTCATTTTAATGCATTTGAGAAAGAAATTAAATTACTATTTAATGACATTATTTCAGGTTTATAATAGCCTACAGGCATAGGCGGAGGGTGAACCAACTCCAGGGTAAGGCTAAAAGCAGCCAAATGTATTAAACATTATAAACCCGTCTTTTTAAGAACCAGATATGGGTGTCATGTAGGCTAAAAAATGTTTTAATGGGACTGAATTTGTATTTAACGTGACTACAATTTAATAAAAAACGTTAGAAATGTATAATTATATAACGTTTCCTTTTCACTGTTATTCAAACAGCGAATAAATTATATATAGAAAGTGACATTATCACTAACATTGATCTATCGCGAGTTTAAGCACTCTCAAAAAAATTAAACTATCGTTATAATCACTGAAGCTGTATACACTACTAAACTGATGAGTTTGAACGATGACTCATCTGAACGCTTCTGATTGGCCATTGCATTCCTAAGCTCAACAGATATGTGTGTGATTGGTTAAAATGCGCAACACTGTAAAAACGCCTAAAATGATCACGGTGCAACATGAGCAGATCTTAATTTAATGCCGCAATCGACACTGTCTATTCATATTCACTTTGTTAGCAACAGACGTAATAGATTTAATTTGTTTGTGCAGGGGCATTTTTGTCCAATTTAGTGGCATTTTTGCCCCAAGTCCCCATGGCCAGGGGAAGGCTAAGCCTTACACACGCTCCGCCTATGCCTACAGGTCTCGCTTTTTAATGACTTTTTCATTTTAGTGTTGGCATGCATTCCAATATTTATTTTTACTATATATTGAATTAACCAACCTGTTAACAGTTAATTTATTAATTCATTTGAAAACATCAGTTATTTAAACAAAATTTACATGTGTTTGTTTATCTACATGTTGTCTTTAGCCTTTTAACAATAGGTCAGTGTTTGGTTCACGATTCCAACAGTGATTTGCGATTCATTCTAAGTAATTCAGTGACCGCTTCGATAGATTCAAGTGTTTTTGATTCACTTAAAAGAACTAAAGGCGGGCATACACGGTGTGATTTTTGCTGTCGTACGAGCTCGCAGGCGATTTTTTTCTCTCGGGAGAAAATCGCAGATGCTCGCATGGTCGCGGCTCGTAACGTGTGAGAAGAATTACGGGCCGATCCGAGACGTTACGAGCACGTCCCGTCCTCCCGATAATTTTCCTGTTGTATTTCCAGCAAAACGAGCAGAAATTCAGAAATGGCCTATTCCCTTGAGTTCTTTATGAAGAACAGAAAGTCCATGCTTTTCAGCCATTCTCTTTGCCATGTCCTTTGTCTTCGTTTTTTTTTTGTTTTTTTTTTTGAACGTCACAAGCCGCCTGCCACAAAGAAAACTATTTCGTCCTCAGAATCCATATTTTTATGAATGGCGCGAAACGTAATGCTTACGTCAGAGTTTGTAAAATCATAGTAAATTTGTGTCGTGTGTGACTGTCTCCGTACGATTATCGGATAAACTCAATCGTGACATGTGCCAGAGCTCACGACGTTCCGACCTTCAGAATCGCACCGTGTACGCCCGCCTTAACTCGCATGGTTCGTTGAATCGGGCTACACTGGTGTTGCCAAGTCCGCGGTTTTCCCGCAGAATTGGGCTACTTTAACACTGTTGCCGCAGGTTGTTTTTCATGTCCGCCGGGTTGAGACGACTCCAATAACATGATATTTATCCCCTGGAATGTGAATTTTAGCAGCGGAACCCCGCCAAAAAAACGTGTAGGCCTATTTTACCCCCAGAATGCCATTTTTAACTGGGGACCCCCTCGAAACTTGATTGGGCTAGTTTTGAGTAGCGATTGGGCGGGTTTTCTTGTGAAAACCTGGCAACCCTGTCGCGCTGGTGATTCAGTATCGGTGTAGCGGCAGAGTGCAAGAACCGTTAATACCGTGAACATCATTCGGTTCCGGTATTTTTTTAGGCACTTGGGAGACGCGCTCTAGGTTCTTGACTGTTGAGTATTCGAGGCGCTCGTGGAAACATGGAGTTCTTGGACGGTTTTTTGGATGCCTCGGTTCAAAATAGCCTCAGTTTGCGCATATGTGTGTGTGTATTTGCCACTGAGCATCACTAACGCTAAACAAACAAGACTTCCTTTCCGCGGCGCTGATGAATGACGAAAGCACGAATGAATGAATGAACTTGTCTTAAAAAAACTGAAGGTAATGAAATGTAAACAGAGAATCAAATGGGGGGTCCAGCAGTGTTCACATTTCCCATGCAACAGTCTATTATAGAACGTTCGCCAGTGGTTATTTATATCCTAAACTAAGATTCATGGAAGGTCCCTGAAACTAAGGTTTGCAAGAAACCAGCAAATGTTTAATCAGGTATAAAGTACTCTAGAGGTTTTACATATTAACTGTGCCTGTACTTAAAAGAGTTTAAAGTGAGCTTTCTGTGACTTTGTTCATTGCATGTTTGTTTATGTGTTTTTAAATATCCTTCTGTCAACCATTATACAATTTTTTTTTTATATCTACCCAAATGCATTGCACGAATCTGATGCAGGAAAGCTGGAAAATATCTCTAAAAATGAATGAATGAAAAACGAAAGTAGGACCATGAGTCAGTCTTAGACATGAAGCGCTTGAACAACTTCCAAACTTCCAGTAAACTTGAATGTGAAACAGAAATTGTAGTGTGGTGATGCTGTTCAATTATAGACATCATATCGTATTCAGTTTTCATAAATATTATTTTATTAAGCAAATGTGCCATCCTTCCGCTAAAAGATCTAGTCCCTGAGGTGTAAACTGAAGTGCGCAGTGATACACACAGTAGCGGGTGAACAGGTGTTTCGTGTCATAGCTGTGTCGTGTATTTTAGCACTGCTGAAAGGATCCAAACAACTATCCGTTTCATAGTTATTTGTATGGTTGTGCGTCATGTGCGGTCTTGTTTGCACTCTCCACCGCTGTTCGGTTGTTTTCTGACGGCGCTCATCGCTCCTGTGAGCGGCCTGTAACCGGATCCCTTGCGCTTCCGCCACTGTCCGCCAGGGTGCGCCCTACATTGCACCAACTCACGACCTGACAGGGATATAATCATTTAAGAGCATCTATGTGAGAGAGATGTTCTCGTCTCCTACATATATACTTAAATACGTCCAGATTTGAACACAAACTTGTATTTTGCCCCTAAATGTTAGAGCGAAATGGAGAGAGAGGATTGTAGAGCAGGGGTCAGGTTCTTCCTCATCAATGTCTATCACTGTGTGTCGAACTGAAGGAATTTTCCACTCCCCTATTACTGAAGTAAGAGAAAGAAAGAGAAGGGTTGTTGTATGCAAGGATGGGGCTTTTTAGTCGTCTGTGTACATAGTGTGTGTTAGTGTGTGTGAGTTTACACATTTGTGTGTACATGTGGTTGCTACCATTGAGAAAATTCCACTCACTAAATAACTGTGTAGGCCTGGAAGAGGGAAACCTGAGAGCTAAATGCAAAATTAACACTACAAATAGGCTACACGTTTACTTTAATGCCATTGACTTCTCATAATCTTATATAATAATCTTATGTAAGCTAATTATAATGAGTATTTATTTTATTTGATTGTTTTTCAAATTGGCAACATCTAATGGAAATTTTGTCTGATTTTACTCACTTCTATGGTTCAAGTTTGAATGGGAGCTTGTTCCTGGCATGGAATAAATAAGTAAAAAAGGTAATTGCAACTTTTTATCTCACAATTGTGACTTTTTTTCTTGAAATACCTCCCCCCCCCCCCCTCAGAATTGCAAGAAATAAACTGAGAATTGCAAGACGTAAACTGACAGGTCGACTTTTTTCTCTCCAAATTGGATGAAAAAAGGTCAGAATTTTGATATAAATTCAGAATTGTGAGAATTAAAAGTCAGAATTGTGAGATAAATAGTTGCAATTACCTTTTTTATTTTTTTTATCACACGACGGAAAAAGGCTTCTGTAAGTTAGTCCCTCAGACATTCACTTGTTTTCGCTTTCTCTTCTAAATCTGCTTTGGTTATTGCATGATAACTTTAGTTATTGCATATTTTAGCATTCTCAATTTAACAGCTCAATTTAACGATTTTCCTACAAAATTAAAATTTTAACTGATTTTTAAAATTATTTTAAGTTCAGTTATTGTAATATACAAATATTCACTTGCACAGTGTTTATGAGACTCGAGATGCTTGACACATACATGAGTCATTTTCTGCAGCACACACACACACGCAACAGAAAGAGCACATTCAGCTGTGACACACACACACACACTGTTTCTCACTCGTCTGTTTGCGGTGGCTTACTAACTGTGAGGTAAGACTGGCCGGTGTTTCTCCTGTTCTGATTGGCTGAGAAACTTTGCGGCGAGACGCTTCACTTCCTGACTCAGGTGTGGGGATCCTGAGGGAGTCTAGGACCGTGTGTGTATGTGATAGATAAAAGAGTGTGTGTTTTGTGGTCAGCAGGTAATGTTTAAAGCAGCTGTCACACTCACACAAACATGTCCGCAGACACAGTGGGGGTTTAGAGCTCCGTCTATCCTGCCAATCATAATTGAAATCCTTCCACTGCGAGTCAGTTCCTCTTTCATGTGTCTGTGAAATCAGAGGTTAGGGTTCAAAGGTCAAAGTTCGTCAGGGTCAGTCTGGCAAAAAACTACATCTGAGGTTCCTTTGTGGTATTGTCATGCATAAAGTGTAACAGTTTTGACTGTAATGTAAGTGGTGTTTGCTACGGGAAGGTTTTATATTGGTCAGTATTAGATATTTGTGTAGTTATTTGATAGATTATCTTTGCTGTCAGCTGACGCTCACTTAAAGTTAATCTTTAAATACATTAATCATTTCATAACTGTAAAATGTATTCTTCGGCAAATCTCAAAATAAAAATACTTTTTTTGGAATAATTACGTTTTTTTAAGTCTCTTCTGCTCAGCAAGGCTGCATTTATTTGATCAAAAATACAGTAAAATCAGTAATATTGTGAAATATTATTACCATTTAAACTAACTGTTTTAATTTTGAATATGTTTTAAAATGCAATTTATTCCTGTGATGCAAAGCTGAATTTTCAGCATCATTACTCCAGTCTTCAGTGTCACATGATTCTTCAGAAATCATTCTAATATGCTGATTTGCTGCTCAAGAAACATTTCTGATTATTATCAATGTTGAAAACAGTTGTGCTGCTTAATTATTTTCAGGATTTTTGATGAATGGACAGTTCAAAAGTACAGCATATATTTGAAATTGAAATCATTGTAACATTATAAACATCTTTACTGTGACGTCTGATCAATTTAATGCATATTTGCTGAATAAAACAATAAAAAAAATACAATATATATATTGAATGGTAGATTTGCTTGTAGCATTTAAAATGATTGATTTCAATTTTTAGTGTTTCATTATGCACATAATAGTATAGAATCTCTATTTATTGGTTATCGGCTATAACATGAAAATAATCAATATTGGTGAGAATTTTAATATTGATGCATCCTTATATGCTAAGATGATTTTGTAAAATGCTCAACTGTGGAAAATTTATTTTATTTTGTCCACAGTGTGTAATAGCAATTAAGCTCTGTACTAAATGTTCTTCTTAAGTATACACTTGTGTGCATATTTGTACTATTTTCCAAATGAAAGAAAAGAAACCAAAAACACGCACAATGTTTTCATTGACTATAAACATGGAAATACATTTAACCGGCCGGCATCATCCATGGGTTTGATGGTTCTCTCCACTCACTCCGGAAAGATGGTGTTTCCAGAAATATGTTCCACTTGTTTGGGTCGAGGCCAGTGCAAGAAGCCTGAAATGTGTACCTCCATTGTAATGATGATGTTTTGACAAGTGGCTTCTGTTATGTAAAGGTCTGATTCAACATTTAACTCCACAAAAATAGTGGAAATTCAAATGAGTAACTTTGTCTTTCTCTCTCTGTGTCTCTAGGAGAGCTCTTCTTCTGTGTATTCTACTTTACTGTACTTCTTTTGGATTCACCCAAGTACTCTTTGAAGGTAAGATATGAAATAAAAAAGTGTTTTATATTTATGAACATGCAGCATCTGTTTGCATATGTGTGATTGCGATGGAAATAGCGGTTAAAATGTGATTTTGGGTAGATTTTTGAGGCCACTGAATTATTGCACAATAATAAAGTTGTAAAGCAGCTCAAAGACAATAGTGTCATTATTTAGCTCAAGTCAGTTCACTGTTGGTTTACATCCATAAGAGTGTGAATTTCATCAACTTTAAAACTTAATCAATTAAAAAAAAAAAAAAAAAATATATATATATATATATATATATATATATAATTATATAATAAAAACAAAAAAAAATAATAATTATGCTGCATTCTAAGACTGCATTGATTTTGTCCAAATTATAAGGAAGCATCACATGAATCCTTCATGGATCAATCAGTCTTACGATACATTGCATCAAGCTCTGTTTAATTCAATTTTAACCAATTTGTACGCTATTTGTGTGTGCCCTCTCACTGAAATCAGATGCATTAGTCAAGTCTTCTCGGAAATGCACAATTTGCATTCTGCCATCTTTACTCTTCGATGCTCAGTTGTGCATACATGTTTTTTTTTTTGAGCCAGTCACCTTAGCTGTAAATGCCATGTGACTAATTACACCTAAAAACGATGTCATGACAACACTGATTAGCTGATGACAACAAAGTAATGTGCACCTGCCCAAAACCATTGATAGTCCTTCACAGTTTAGCTGACTTTTGATTCAAGATATGGGCGTGAAACGCAAACAGACATTCATTTACACAATCAAACGCATCATTCAGACAGTGTTCTATTGTGTGAATGAAGTAGTTTCTGCTGCTGTTCTCATACGCTTGGCTCTGTCCTGGCATTGTGAAGGCAAACGCTGACCCAAGTGAAACACAATTACAAGTTCACTGCAATAAGTTCACAAATTTTCCTTGTCAGAAGCCAGTTTTAGCATCAGACACAGACACAGCTGTTAACTCATTGCTTCGTTTTAGCCTCGGAGGATGTTTTCCTGCTGGAATTTAACAAACATGGCACAAAACTGAATTAGCACATTACAATGATGTAATGCGGAGTCGGTTAAAATGTGATTTTGGGTAGATTTTTGAGGCCACTGAATTATTGCACAATAATAAAGTTTCATGTTCTTGCACTTTCCGCTAAGTTTGGAAAGTTTTACAACATTAAACTTTATACCCTGATTCATGAAACGCAAACACCCTCTTTCTCACATACGTATAAGTTTCCTTACCTTTTCTCCTGCCAAACATCTCTCAGTTCCAACCAAGCACTTTTTCCTCAGTAAAGCATGTCTTATAACGCCTTTTACATGAATGAGTGTGTGTGTGTGTGTGTGTGTTAGTGCATGTCTGTTTTATAGAAAAAATGACATCATGTTCCCACTTGACTGCTGATTCATGCTGATCTCTTGACAGTAACACACATATGAAAAGGCCTGGGAATAAAGTTATGATAAATCTACTGAATCAAAGCAAAGATCACAGGAAGTAAGATCTGTTTACATGACAGCAATGAGAGTTTACTGAGTTCACCATGTATATATATATATATATATATATATGTGTGTGTGTGTGTGTGTGTGTGTGTGTATTATATATTATATAATAATATATTAACATTAAAAAATATTAACATTTATTTCAGATTAAAAAAAAAATGTAAATTTTTTTTTTGCATTAATTAATTAATTGAATTATGTCATATATGTGTAAATGTGAATATGTATGTGTGTGTATTAAGATGTGTTTGTGTTGCAGATGTGGACGTGTTGCAGCGGTTGGCTCTGCGTGCTGAGCTCGGTTCTCGTGCTGTTCCCGCTGGCGTCATCTCCCTCCGCTCTGGAGTCATCCTCACGACACGGGTACGAGTTACCACGGCGACACGTTCTGTGTTCCCACCAGAACTCTTCTGGAATTGCACTCTCGTCCTGAGCGTCCGATCTCACCGCTTAAACTCAGCATTTCTCTTCTCCGTCCTATCTGGGAATCGGATTCAACTCGGGCTGGAAATTTCGCCCGGCAAGCTAACGCTTCACGCCGGCCCTGGGAATGCCGCGGTCTTTGCGTACAACCTCCACGACGGGCGCTGGCATCATCTAGCCTTCGTTTTAAATGGCCAATCAGTGACCCTACACTCTCCCTGCTCGGAGAGCGATGGTGGAGTTACACAGAAACTCCCCGTACTTCCCGAACGCCTGAACCCTCGCGGGACCTTCCGCTTGGGCGGCACCAGCGCTTTGCTTCCGGGTGTGGTACCCTTCGAGGGAGCGGTTTGCCAGTTTGACGTGGTGCCCTCGGCACAAGCACAGCAGAACTACTGCAGCGCCATCCGCAGGCAGTGCAGAGAAAATGACACCTACAGGCCAGCGCCTCCCGCTCTACTTCCCCTCCCGTCCAGACACGCCCCACCACTATTGGCCCACACGTTACCACCTAATCGCACTTTCACTTTCACTCCCACTAATTTCCTTTGGACATCCATAAATGGCGCAGGAGGGTCTTCTGCTGTGAGAATGGGCAACGGTGTACGACCAAAACCCACGTCTACCACACCACCCCTTTCCTTGATGCAAACAGGACTTGAAGATCCTTTATCATGGGGACATTTAAATTCTGTCACCCCCAAACCTACTCTCAGGACACCCAAAAGCCCCAAGCCGACTGCCTCAAAGCTTGGAGCGGTCTGGCTTACCCCTACAAAACCAGCCAGATCCAGACCCACTCCAGGAAAAACGTCTCCAAAGCTTAGTGCAACAAAGCCTTCCAGACTAAAGCCCACAATTGCTCGACCTACTTCTTCCAAACCTGGAAGTTCAAAAACAACTGGTGCCAAACCTACGCCACTGAAACCTTCCAAACCAGCAGCTGTAAAACCCACGGTAAAGAAACCAACTCTTACGCCAAAGCCCACCAATATCAACCCAACAAAGAATACTTCTACTGGTGCTCAACCTATCAATCCTAACAAGAAACACAATGCCATTCTAAAACCTTTGTCCAACCCAGAACCGACCGCCCCCAAAAGACCCTCGCCAACCAACAAAAAGCCACTCCAGCCCAAAACCAGCACCCAACGCTCACCCCAAACCACACTCCCAACCCCAAAATCTAACCCTACAGCCAAAAAAAGCCTTCCGACACCCAAATCTGCTCCGTTCACCACCGCTGCACCAAACAAACCACCAAAAACTCTGGAAACCCCCAAAGTCAATCCTGACAAGCTGAAAACACCTGTGCATTACGTCACACCGGGCACTCCAAGGTTTTCCGTCCAATCTGTGACTCTTCCGGCTTTCAACGATTTCCAGAGCTTCGAGGCGGAGCCCACATACTTTTCGCTTCTGGTTGGACCGCCGGGACAAAAAGGAGATCCCGGGAAAATGGTAAGAGAGTGTTGGTGTGTGTGTTTGATAGAGCCTTGATAGTGCATCATGTCAAATTTGAGTTTGTTGGTAAAAATGGGCACATGAGCAGATATTCATAATAATCATGCCACCCAGAAGATAAAGAAAGTCTTTTTTCCAATATCACACAATCCTACTTTTCTTATGATAAAAAATCAGATGTAAAATGTAGATGCCTGGCACAATCAGGCTCGCGCACATTAAGATGCCAGGCACATTTTTTCTGTCTGCACTGAAAGCAAAAATGCTGCATGACACATTAGCATTCAGTTAATGTAATATTCAGTTAAATGTGGAGCAAGATTTTTGACCAATCAAATTTCCCTGTGGGCGGGACTATCTTGCATGGTACACTACAAATTGAAACCAACTGACTGGCTAAATGTTCCACTGCTGGTTGCAATCATTGTTGGTTAGGACAAAAAAAATGATTAACATGGAAGAGATCATTTTATCACTTGTCATGCCTAGTTAAGACACATTGTAATATTTTTTAAAGGGACAGTGTGCATATTGATTAATGAGGTGTTATTTTTACTTGCAGTAATAAGAACTATAGATACACTGCCATTCAAAAGTTTGGGGTAAATAATATTTTTTAAATGTTTTTGAAATTCTCTTATGCTCACAGAGGCTGCATTTATTTGATCAGAAATACATTAAAAGCACTAATAATGTGAAATATTAATGTAATTCAAATAACTTTTTTGAATACATTTTAAATTGAAATAATTTCCTGTGATGCAAAGCTGAATTTTCAGCATCATTACTCCAAACTTCAGTGTCACATGATCCTTCAGAAATCATTCTAATATGCTGATTTGCTGCTCAAGAAACATTTATTATTAATATTATCAATGTTGAAAACAGTCATGTTGCATTATATCTTTGTGGAAACCATGATACATTTTTCAGGATTCTTTGGTGAATATAAAGAAAAACCTGTATTTGAAATAGAAATCTTTTGTGACAATATATGTCTAGCATTAATTAAAAAAAAAAAAAAAAAATCTTACAAATAGAAATGTTTAATTCATTATAAATTCTTTTGTAAATGTCTAAAAGCACAAACATCATGTTTTACTGTCCTGTCTGCACCTTGAAAATCACTTTTATGGTGGTAGAAATAGAAAGATATATTTTTGGTGGATTTATATTGGTTTAGACTGGTTACAAGAACACAGTTCTGCAGTTTCCAGGTGGATCAAATGCTCCTTAAAGGATGTAAACAGATCAGTATTACTTCTATTTTTGGGCTGTGAGCATCAATTTAGGATCAAAATTGTGTTGGTAATTGTCGTGAAGTTTATATAAACATTTGTGCATGTGAATTCGTCCTTCTCTCATCTTAGTGTTTTCTTGCATCACTTTGAGTTTGAAAGCCGTTGAGCGATGTGCTTTTAAAGCTGGGTCAAAGGTCAGGGAACATTTTATCAGTCACCCAAACACTCACACCAAACTTTGCAAGCAGAGAATCCTAATCCATCCATGGAAAACTAGGCATGGGGTTTCAATCAGAATCAGAAACTCTCGAACCACCTTGTTTTAGAGACCAAACTTCAAAAGCAACCACCTGACCTGTGACCCAAAAACAAATAAGGATAAGTGAGTTATTGCAAGTCCTGTGTTAAATGTGAGCCGTATTTCAACAGTAGGACTGCGACGTCTTTAAGGTCCTTTAGATGCAGCAACATGGGAAAAAGCATTTCAAGCAAATTGCTTAGAAACAGTTTAGTTAACAAGGATGTTCAAAGTTAGTGATGACTTCATGGTCAGACTCTCTAGAGGGCATTTTCCAAAATAGCTGACTAACTTGACAAAACAGCCCACATGTTGAACAATGACCCATTTTTGTGATGTCTGCACATCACTGTGGTTACCTTTGTGTAATTTGGTGGGACTCACAGGTATGTGTGTGTGTAGCACCCAAGAGAATGTTCTCTGTCATTACCGCAGCATAATTACCCAAAAGCCCCCATCCTTCACCATAAAGACACGTTCAGCAGGTACTTAACTAAAACACCAGGAACACACCCGGCGATTCTCTCAATTACACGTGCACACGCACGTGCAATTATTTAAGTCTGCAATTATTTACAGCCCCGAGCTGCAGTACACCATTTACTCAAAGATAATGAGCTGTAGTCACTATCTTTAGCCTTACTTAAATCCACAATAAACCCAAAAAACACTGTTCGCGTCACACACTTGCTTACTAAATACTGTCCAGTATGTGCTTTTTACTGCCTACTAATTTAAATTAGCATGAAACGGGGTCAAATGTAGTATGCTACTGTTGTCACTACTGTATGTTACGGTGTTATTTTAGTATTATTTATATATTATAGTTTTTATTAATATTAATATTTTTGTGTTCATTTTCAATTTTCTTTGAGTATTGTACTTTTTCATTTGTGTTAGTTTTTTTATATTACTATTTAAGTTTTATATATTTATAACTTAAATTTTTTGTGTAATATTAATATTTTTGTTTTCATTTTCATTTTAGTATATATATATATATATATATATATAAGGTATGTGCATTCTTTGCAGAACTGCTAGTATTGGTTTGCAAATCGCTTTAAACGTCTTATTTCAAATGAATTAGTTCAAAACAGTTCATTTGCATCATTCACAAATGTCATTCTGCATTTTGAGTGTTTTAAGATGTCTTAGTGAAATATAAATATACTGTATGTAAAAATAGGTCATCTATGTTGTTACACTACCATTCAAAAGTATAGGGTTTTGAGTGAGTAAATTTTTTTTTGAGTAAATATTTTTTTTTTTAGATTTAAAAAAAAAAATTGATTAATTTCCAGTTAGTAATTTTAGTGATTCAATTTTTTTTAAATATCACTATTTAGGTTTAATTAATTTTTATTTCAGTTTTAGTTTTAGCTTTTGTTTATTACCAGTTAGTAATTTTAGTGCTTCAGCTAGGGTTGTAAAAGGTGGAAAATTTCCAGTAAATTTAGGAAATATTCCAGAAAATTTTGAAACTTTCCAGGATTTTTTGGAATATTCCAGGGATTTTTGGAAAGTTTCCGGAAATTTACCAGAAATTTTCCACCCCTTTGCCACCCTAGCTTCAACTTACACTTATTTCAGTTAGTTGCCAAGTCAATGTTTCTTATTTCCATTTAGTTTGTCATCATTTTGTTATTTTATTTCTACTTCATTTCAGTTAATAAAAATATTTGTAATAGTTTTAGTTAACAATAGTAACCCTGATGTGTTGCATGTTTACGAATTACTTTGCATGTTTAATCTAAAATTATCTTTAGATTATTCAAATAAGTATTAATATTTTATTTCATTTCCACTTTATTTCAGTTAATAAAAAGGCATTTAATTGTTTTAGTTTTAGTTAATGACAGTAACCCTGGTATATTGCATGAGCAATTTAGTGAGAGGTGTCCGGTTATGAGTTACTTTGCATTTTTAATTCAAAAGTATCTTAAAATTTGTCAATTAAGTAATAGGTCAAGAAAAAAATTATAAATAGTGCTGCTTGTATTATTTCGTATTCATTCAGCACACTGTAAATGGAAGCAGCATTGCTTTGTTGGATGCAGTAGCAAATGTAGGTATTCATTTGGGTCAAACTGTGCACAAAGTACTGCAGCAATATTAAACAGTGTAGTATGGTGTTTTGAGCACCGTTTGAAAGCACTGTTGCATGATGGGAGTATCTGGATGTTCATTCAGGACTCAGGTGGGTTGGTGGGGGGCTGTGGTGTACATGTATGTGGGTGAGAAAGCCCCATCCCCCTCCTCCATCAACAGAGCCATAGTTCTAGAGCTCAGAGATTCTTAACATAAACTCACAGCAGCTCACACACTCATCTTCTTTGAGAGCCGCCCGCGCTCAATGAAGGCTTTCATCCTGTGCCGCGTGGCACTGCGCTGGGGGTGGAGGACAGAGAAGCCAACTGATCCTCTGTTTCTACAACTATGCTGATATATGATACCGCTTGAGCCATAGAGCTGGGAGAAATTCCCAGGAAAACTGTGATTTTTTGGCCATTTGATGATATTTGATATGTAAAGTATGTTTATGCTCTGAAATGCAAGGGTGTTTTTTGAAACTTTTTTGTACCAAACTACGTTGTTCCCAAGTAGATTGAAATGTTTCATTTTTATAGCTAAAATACTGACAAATGAAAAATGTTGCATGAAACAGCATTCACAGCTTGTTTTACTTTTGTTATGTGGTGTACGTCATTTCAGAAACAAGTATTTTGACAGAATATATTCTGATGAAATACTATAATTTATAATAATATTTTTTTACTAATATATTTTATGTATGTTTATTTGTTTTATAGATAATGTATATTAATAAAAAATATTTATTATTATTAATATGCATTTATAAAATATGTGACCCTGGAGCACAAAACCAGTCTTATGTAGCACGGGTTTATTTGTAGCAATAGCCAAAAAAACATTGTATGGGTCAAAATGATAGATTTTTCTTTTATGCCAAAAATCATTAGGATATTAAGTAAAGATCATGTTCCATGAAGATATTTTGTAAATTTCCTACCGTAAATATATTAAAATGAATTTTTGATTAGTGATATGCATTGCTAAGGACTTAATTTGGACAACTTTAAAGGCAATTAAAATAAAAGATTTTTTGGACCCTCAGATTCCAGATTTTCAAATAGTTGTATCTCGGCCAAATTTCGGAAAATTGACCCTTATGACTGGTTTTGTGGTCCAGGGTCACATATTTGATTTATTTTAGAAATGTTTATATTAATAAATAAAATATTAATCATTTTCTAAATATAAAATATTTAGCAAATATTTGTATAAATAATTTATATTAATATGTAATATGAAAATGTAAATAAAAATTCTGTGAATATTTTATAAACAAATTATATTAATAAAATATTTGATTTATTTTATAAATGTTTATATTAATAAATAAAATAATAATCATATTAATGTTTCTTAGAATGCTATTTATTAAAAACTAAATAAATAAATATAAATAAAAATATTTATAAAACATTCTGTGAATATTTTATAAACAAATTATATTAATAAGTAAATATTACTTATTTTATAAATAAAACTATTTGTAAAATGTTTTGTGAATATTTCATAAAGTATATTAATAAATAAAATATTACTTAGTTTATATTATTAAATCTAAATATAAACTATTTTGTGAATTTTGATTTCATAATTTATAACAATAAAATAATAGTTATTTTAGAAATATAAAGTATTTGACGAAATATTTTACAAACAAATGAATCATTGCATCTGTGTTTTGTACTGATTTGCTGAAACAGACTTTTTGAAAGATTAGAGATTCTAATAAAAAAATATTTCTTACGTTCTTGTCTTAGTGCTGTCATGCTCACAGTGCTCAGAATGGGGGCACAAAATCTGCCAAAATCTGAGCACTGTAGGATTGTAGGATTGGTACATACCTTCAAAGCTACAGAAAAGGACCACAGGGACCTTTACATAAACACACTCGATGTGCACACACACACACACACACACACACGGTGGGACACAGGATCTACAGGTCTTCTGTAAGTCTATAGCTCATTATCAGAAAAAGGAAATTCCCTCGAATGACTTCCTGTTTCCTCTTTGCTGTGTTTAGTTTTTAAACAGAGTCTTGCAGCACTATAAGCAGTGAGTGTGTGTTTGATTCATAAGAGCACTCTTGTGTTGCATAGGGAATCCCGGGACCTCCAGGGAAACCAGGGCAGCCAGGGCTGAGAGGACCTCGGGTGAGTGTGCGTGTGTGTGTGTGTGTGTTAGACTAATAGAGCCATTGACCTTTAACCTCAGATATAAACAGGAAGTGTGTAAAATGCAGTGCCTTATAAAATCTCTCCCACACTTTTCACTTCAGTGTATATGTGCTTTATTGGTTCTTTTTAGCGTGTGTGTCTGTGTTTTGTCTGGTCAGCGGGTCGAACTGACCTCAGAACAATACACAAACCTCCCCTCCGGATCTGTCTGTCTCATTCACTTTCACACACATTCTTTTGCCCTTTCTTATTTGTGTTGATCTGTTTTGTCATTTTTGAGTATTTAATGAAATTATCAATGGAGCTACAATATCATGACTACAATTGCACATAGTTTTAAAGTATTAAGAATTGCAGTAATAATAATAATAACAGTAATGATTATTATGATAATAATATTATTATTAATAATTATCCAGCATCAATTAATATATTAATAAATGAAATATTAATTGTTTTATTAATATAAATATTTATCATATATTTTGTAAATTGTTTTTAAAAATAATTTATAAAAAACATGTTAATTTTATACATAATTTATATTAATTTGTGGAATATTACTTATTTTATGAATATAAATATTTATCACATATTTTGGGAATATGAATAAATAATTTATGTTAATGTAACCCCTGGACAGGATTTAAAATATAAAAAAAAAACTAAAAAAAAAACTACAGCAGTATAATACAATCAAAAGAAAAAGACAATACAATTTACCAAAATAAAAAAATACTAAAAATTTACATTATATTCCATATAAAAATCTAGAGAGGTGATCACAATTGGTTTGTCTTAAGCCATATTTTAAGTCAAAAAAGTCACAAAAAAAAAAATACACAACTAAATGTTTTGCATCCTCTAAGGTGAGCAGGTACTAAATTCCATTTTTCTGCTGTATTTTAAGTATTTTAGAGAATTTTTGGGTGGTCTTTTCCTTTGACTTAAGAGTCCTTGTGAGGAATCTTCTAGCACAATCAAACAGAGAGCCATAGAGCCATGACACTTTGTTTGAACTTTGACCTTTGTTGACAGGATGGCAACTGCAGTCAACATGTAGTGTGCATGCGTCAAAGGTCCACCGTGAGGTCACGCTGTTGTGTGTGTGTGTTAAGTGTTTTAGAGCATGTGTTATAAGGTCTGACTGCTAGGCTTTGTTCAGCCGGCACCCTTTTCATGTTAAATGTGTATGTTATTTGTGTGTGTGTGTGTGTGTGTGTTTGCTTGTTAGAACAAAGATGACTTTCAGTAAAGTCAGCCTACGCTATTTGCGCTTTCTTTGCACTCTCCTCAATCTTTGCTTTTTCCTAGTAACCGGCTAGAGAATCCTCTTATTGTAACCAAGGCTGCATTTATTTGATCAAAAAACAGTAAAAACAGTAATATTGTGAAATATTAGTACAATAACTGTTTTCTGTTTGTATATATTTTAAAATGTAATTAAATCTTGTGATGCAAAGCTGAATTTTCAGCATCATTACTCCAGTCTTCAGTGTTACATGATCTTCAGAAATCATTCTTATATGCTGATTTGCTGCTCAAGAAACATTTCTGATTATTATCAATTTTGAAAACAGTTGTGCTGCTTCATATTTTTGTGGAAACATGATAAATAGAAAGTTTTTATTTTAAAAAAAATCTTCCTGACCCCAAACTTATAATCAGTCCATATTCACTCCTTATATATGAATAAATAGTAAAACAAAATAAAAAAGCCCCATTTTTTTATGTGTTTATTGATACAGACAGTTTGGTTAAAATAATTTGTGAAAGTGAATCCCATTTTATTGCACGTCTGCGTGCAAATCAGAGACTTGGCTCTTTTTATTCTCGTGTGTTTAATTTTGTATTAGCAACAAAATATTCAGTATAATCAATATATTCAATATAACGCAGCCCTAATACAAAAACACACACACACTATTGTTTTTACACACGTGCATTGCTTTTGTTTTGTTTTCATGCATGGTATTACTCGATCTGTTGGGCTTATTTATGGACTGTTTCCAATAACATCCATTGACCTTGACCCTCACTGTGACCTCTGACCTCAGGTGGGAAGTCGTTTAAAAAAAGAACAAGGTCAGGGTCGCATGAAAGGTCAAAGTCAAATGGAGCTAAGAATTGACTTCTTTTGTTTCAGATCCATTCACTGTAAACTGAAAACACATAATGCCCGAAGCATACTCAAGTATGCAAGCATATGAATGCAAAAGCATCAAGCCAGACAAGATTAATTCCATGCATCATAGAAAACAGTTCATAAAGAAGTTGCATTCTCAGCATGGCCACAAGGGGCGTATAAGCTGTTTCTGCAGTCAGTAGGTGAACTATTAAATGCATTCTGTTTTTCTTAATCGTTCATTCCTAATGTGTGTATTGTTTGTATGTCGTTATCTGTAGGGCCCCCCAGGACCACACGGCAAGCCAGGTCGACCCGGTCCAACAGGGTTGAAGGTAAAAACCAACTCACCCACACTTACGGTCAGATAATCCGCAGTCTGATCTCGTGTACTGCTCTGCTCTTCTTCCTGTGTTTGGCCCTCTGTTATATTCATCACCGCACCGCCTGCCGGTACTATTGGGCTGCCGACAAAACCCTGCAGACAAGGTTTTGGAAACACAGGCACACACATGTACACACACACAAACCCTTTGATTTATTTGAGCTCACGAGAAGCCCAGCAGGTAGTGGAAAGTCTTTCCCATGATACAGAAATGAGTGTTTGTGTGGTGAAGTATAGCTGTAGTATTAAACACGGGTTATAAACCAAAACCACTAAACATGCTTCCAAGTTAGGTGTGCGTGTGATGTCCCGCCGTGTGTGATTGGTCTGCCTCTTTCATCCCTGTAAACTATACAAAGGTGGTAAACAACCGAGCAGCCCAGCGGGGAGTGTGTTTGTGTGATTGCATGGTCTTTGCTTTCTGTGTTTAATTATTTCAAGTGGCCTTTGAAGACAAACCTGGTTAAGATGCAACGGCCTGGAGTCAAACGTCCCATGTGTTCTCGCTCTCTCTTTCTGTCTGCGACACACACATGTACATGCACACACAAATTCGTAATTACGGTAAGATATAAAGCTTAAAACGGATGAAATAACATTCTTGCTTTGATCTGATTAGCATCTTTAAACGACTGGGCTTTGTAAGATGAAACGGTGAAAAAGTTTCACATTTTCTTCAGACGATTTAAACTCCATCTCTTCTTTCTCTCAGGGGAAGAAAGGAGACCCTGGACTGTCTCCTGGAAAAGCACCAAAAGGAGAAAAAGTGAGAAAACACATACACTTGTTCCGATTCACGTACTTTAGTGTTAGCAACAGCCAAAACACTGTTCTTGATCAGAACATGCAAACATGCGAAAAGTTACAGCAGCAACATCTGCCTCTCTATGTTTTCCTGTGGCAGTGCTGGACTGATTGTGCCTCATGTTTACTGTTCGTGTTCGTAGGGAGACGTTGGTCTGTCTGGTCCTGTTGGTTTAGTCGCGCCGGAAGGCCGGAAGGTAAGATATTCTGAAACGCTTGAATCATTCTCTCCATTGTTTCATTATTTCTCAACACTAATGTTGCTGTACACTTGCTGGGAGACATGAGCGCAGATGTTTGCCGTTTTGCATACCAGACCCACTCAAACACTCTGAATGCTCCCACTGGTTCTGCCTCACTGTGTCTCCCGTTGCCGTGGAAACCCAGTGTAAACATCAGAGGGAATCCCCAATGAGTCGTCTATCACTCCTTTATGCTCCGTGCACTCACACGTCAAACAAGGCTATTGAGAGTCGTACAGTCGTTCACCATGAGTAACTCTCTTTGTTACGACCATTAGTGTGTCGCGTCTCAGCTGTGCATGATTATAGTAAGTTTAGACCCTCTGCCAGGCGCTTTAGTGTAAGCAATAATACTTACAGCTTCGTGTGTGTGTTTGTGTTGGAAGGATCTAGCAGAGGGATCTCTGGAAAAATCCTGTAGCCGATTCCTGTACCCTTTTAAACGGTGGTTGTAAACATGCATATGTTATGTCTAGAGCAGCAAAAACGAATTAAAACAACCAAAGTTAATTATAAAAGAAGTTGACAGTGAACTTTATCAACTCTTTATGCACTTCATGCATATAGTCAGTTTAGACCCAATGCAAGGTGCTTTTTAAAATATTAAAATATAATTTTTATTTTTATCATTCTTTCTTTATCCAATTAGTTGATTTATCACAGAATTAATTGACATTAACTGATTATTGAAATGAGTTGTAGTAGCATGTCAGTACATGTGGTTCAGTGTGTGTGCACGTGTGTTCGTGAATACCTGGCAGGCTGCGCGGCGGTCCATGTGCTTTGTGTTACGTGTCTGTGGTTAGAAAAAGAGCCATTAGAATATAGAGAAGAACCTCTGGAAAAACGGACAGCAGCGTGTCATGAACGAGTGAATGAAGGGATGAATGCGGGTATGACGAACCAATAATAAACCAAAGTAGCCTGTGATTCTGCAGAGGGGCCAGACAAATTAAGCAGCTGATCTAGTACAACCTTTAACACAGATTCTACTGTAAACATTAAAAGATGGTCTAGAGCTAGGCAGTGCATAAACAACACAACTTCTTAGAAAGTTATAAGGGATTACAAGATTTTTCATATCAGTTTAATGTATTTTTTTTTTTAGATAAAATTATTCTGACATAAAAAGATCCTTTTTAGAATTCTAACAAAATAAGATTTTAGTTTGTTAAAAGTGCACTGTATATGTACTGTAACTGTTTAAATAGTTGCAAACATACAACAAAGATCAGTGGTACATGTGTGTGGCTGTTCACTGGAATGTGGAGGTAGAGGCAGGAATCAGAGCTGGGTTTCCCACAAACAAACGTAATGGAAGAACCAGACATCTCTCAGACGCAGAGTGTGACAGGATGGATTTCACTGGTTTGGCAGAGAAGAATGTGTGTGTGTGTATGTGTGTGTGTGTGTTGTAGTTTTATGTTCTTGTGTACATTTCTATCTATCTATCTATCTATCTATCTATCTGTCTATCTGTCTGTCTGTCTGTCTGTCTATTTGCCTGTCTATCGATCCTGTCTGTCTGTATATCTATCCATCTGTCTGTCTGTCCTGTCTGTTTGTCCACCTATCTGTCTGTCTGTCTATCTATCATTCTGCCTGTCTATCTATCTGCCTGTCTTCTTTTTCTACCTGTCTGTCTATTTAGCAGCTCAAGTTCAGTTCATGTTCTCACTGCTGTAAGACACGACATTCAGAAGTGCGGTTCACATGCAACATGGAAAATATTCTCATAGTTTATCCATTTTTTCTTGTCTGCCTACTGGCGCACTCGTAAGGTCAATAAACAAAAATCGGCACACTGCAACTACTGCTCTTGAAAATGTATTAAAATCACAACGTTTCTACCCTGAGTAGGACTACCCTAAGGTCTCACTCGTAAGGTCTCACACTTTATATAGTCCTCCCTAGGGGTGTGCGATATTGACAAAAAATAATATCTCTATATTTTCTGGGATTTTATTGATAACGATAATTAGACTATATTTTGCTGAGTGTGTTATTGTGCTGGTATTTTAAGGACTGCCGTGGACAGCTGACTCCTAAAGTTTTTAATATTCTTCATATTCTGTGTGGTGGTCAGTTGACACTGAGAGAAATTAATCTTTTTCCAATAAGTTTAAACTTAATTTTACATTTTATGGGCATTTTACCTTTATAAAGCCATTTTTCCTAAAAGTGTCCATTATCTTTTGAGTGAAATTCTTACATTTAATCAGTGAATTAGAATAATAAGACATTTGGGCTGTTACCAAGCAAATGAAATCAACACAGAAGCTGCATCTGAAGTGGCATTTAGATGTATTTACACACTGTTTAATGCAAGATATGAATGCATTTAACCTGCAATTACAAATGCATAAATAATGTTTTGATATATTAAACATAAAACGTTGAATATTGATATTTTAAATTATTTAAATAATAAAAGATACTTTGAATGTGAAATTAAAACTGGCAGCAGGTGGCAGCAAGTCACTGTTAATAAGTGTTGCGTTTGAATCGTCAGTGGCAAATCCTTTAAATATGAAAAACGTACTTACAGTTTGTGAGTCAGAACAGCCGGCATTGTAGTCTACTCTCCCAGGAAACAGTCCTCCATAAACAGTGCTGCACAAATCTGAATATTTGGGTTGAACTGTTCTGCAACAGTGTTGTAAATACAACTTAACCACTGATTTCTAGTCGTGTCCTCTTTTGGAAGACCAAACAAAGTAGTTTCGCTTTCACAACGAAACACTACAATACTACAGCGAGAATAAAAGTTATGCTTTCTTTCTTTGCGTGAACATTTGGGTGGCGTTATGCTAATATTTCCACATAGTGACGTAGATATGTGGGGGCGTGTTACAACGAGCCTTTTTAGGTAGGCGTGGCTGACTCTTAACTTTTATAAAGAATATCTCTTTGGATTTGAGACTTTAGTCTTTGCAACTTTACAGATCTTCTTTATGCACCAAGAGCTTGTATCACTTCAAAGAGAAAGGAAAAATTGAAATCGCAACATATGACCCCTTTAAAACAACAATTACGATATTATCGCATCGCACACCCCTAGTCCTCCCTCAAACCCGTCTCTCGCTCTGTTCCACCTTAGATGCATATTTTCCACTCTGTATCGTTGTCTTGCACATGGGACAAAACAGGTCCAGGCTGTTACACCAAATACACAAAATAATGATCTTTAAAATAGCATCATATGACCCCTTTAAAAAAGAGAGACGTTGGAAGGTTGTATCAAAGCATATTTCAGTAGCTTAGTACATATAAGATACATAAATGTAGTTCCATTTGTCTGAGTACAAGGTTTTATTTTTTCAATTTTGCACCCTGTTTTGTCCCACTTCTCAAGAATGACTGCACAATGTTGACTCTTGGGAGCTTGACTCCAGCAGGAAAACATTTATATCTGTAATACACACACACACGTTTGCTCACTGAAACCCACATATGTTGCAAACGCACATGTGCAGATGCGCATTTTGTTCAACATAAAGGCGTGTGTGGAAAATATCACACTGCTTTAGCTTATTGACTACAGATGGATTGGGTCAATAATGATGGTTCCCTTTCAGTCGGTCACTCTCGACGTCACATCTTAGTTTACACTCAAAGTGGATTGGTCTCTCTAAGCGAGATCCCAATTCATTGGTCATCCGACGTGACGTCTCCGTTCCCTCCTTCAGGGAACGAGGGTTACATACGTAACCTTGACGTTCTGTCAAATGCACACTCACTGCTGGAGATGCGTATTTGTGGGCGTGTCTTTCCATATCCTTTTTTAGAAAGTGGTTTGTAGCCTTTCACTTGTCTTAGTTTGTTTCAGTTTGTGTATGTTTGTGTAAATCACTAAGTGTTTACTAAATCGTCATGTGTCCTCTTTGTGAACAGGGACAAAAAGGCCATCCAGGACCACCAGGCCTTCCCGGGGAACCAGTGAGTAATGCAGACATACAAACCCTGTTACACAAACAAACAAGCACATAAACAAACACTCAAAGTGTGAGGATATTCTCATCTGAGTCAGAAACCTACGTCACAAGTCATAACTAATCCATGGAAATTTTTACCTCTTAAAATACACACACAGACATTCACATGACAAGAAAAAGTGCTTATAAAGCCCTCTGTGTTATTTAAGGTGAACCGTCCTCTCAAGTCAAAAGTTTAGTGAGAGGAAAGACAAACACTCATACCCAGAGGAAAGTTTTATAGCTCAGAGTGTGTTCTTTCGTAACTCGGGAGCCTTAAATGTGAAGCGTGTCATTTCTGTGCCTAGCATCACCAAACAGAATTTCAAAAATAATGATTGATTTTAAAATCATTTGCGGAAAACGCTCTTCCTGCCCACCATTGGTCATACAAACAAATAGCCCCGCCCCCAAACTTGTGCCATTGGTTGAACAAATATAGCCCTTGTTGGCAGATCTCATAACTACACACTTTGCGTTCATACATTATGTATACATTTTACTGTTTCTTTATGCTATAGTAAATTTAACAGTTTTACCAGTGTCTAATTCTGTTTTTAAGGTCTTTTAGTTTTTTTTTCTTTTGGTAGAAAAGGAAAGAAATCAACAATGACATACTTTACTTTTAAAAGTGAGTTTTTGAGTTCTCAGGTATTTAATTTTTGAGCATCAAATATTCTTCCTTAAAATTCTTTTGGAGAAATAAAAATAGTGAAAATGAGTTGTCGACAGAGCAATAGCTATAAAATGAATATGACTAGCAGCTCTTGATGAATTTGCTGAAAAAAGTTTGAGTTCATATTCTTCTTTCTGCGTGCTGCGTGTTTTATGCTTCATTTGGAAATCAAATATCACACCCAAACGCAAATATTAAGTTGTTCAAAAAGTATCAGACACATTCATCCACCAACGTACACAGATGTACAGAAATCATGTTGTTTAGACATTATCGCTCCTTATATTTCCCATCACATCACACTAATGAATATTTCCTAAATTGATTAAAAAAAAAACTTAATATTATATAGACTTAAGCCACACTTATGTATAAATGAATATGATTGCATTCGTTCAAATTGTCAACTCAAAACTGCATCTAACTTCACTTTTCTTCATCGTTTTTGCTTAATGTCTTTGAATCAGCTCGATGTAGTACATCACATGAACACATTAAATACTGTCACAATACTGTCTTCAGTTTCAACAGTAAATCTATTGATTGTCTATGTATTGATTATCATTTCAAACCCAACAAACAAAATACATTTAGCTTGATTGTGCTTTTTCTTTCAAATGAAAACGTCTCTAGGTTACGTATGTAACCATGGTTCCCCGAAGGGAACGAGACGCTGCGTCGAACGCTTTGGGAACGCCCTCGGCGAGACACCGTACTGATCTTCGCCTCCTGAAACCTCTCGACGACAGTGTCTACTGCGCCGCCGAAGAGGCCAGAAGGCGATAGCGGGGCATCCAGCAGGAAGAATCTGTCCTTATCCTGTAACTCGGACAGATTCAACCACAGGTGTCGCTCCGTGGCCACGAGAGCTGCCATGGAACGGCCGATGGCTCTGGCCGTTTCCTTGGTGGCCAGAAGCGACAGATCTGTGGCCCGATGCAGTTCGGCGACTGCGTCGGATTCCTCTCCCTCCCTAGCGTCCAGGTCTTTTAGCAGGTCGGCCTGGTACGCCTGCAACACCGCCATAGTGTGCAGACATGCACCAGCCGGCCCTGCCGCCGTATATGCTTTCCCAACCAGGCTGGATGTTAGTCTTACTGGCCTGGTGGGAAGCTTCGGGGCCTTCAGGGACGATGCTGAGGACGGGGACAGATAGCTCGCGAGCGTCTGTTCCACCGCCGGCACAGCCCCATATCCCTTCTCATTTAGCCCCGAATGTTGGAATAATTATTAACAGAGGGGCTAAAGAGTCGGGACGAATACGGTTTATCCCACGATCTCGAAAGCTCGGAATGGAGATCGGGGAAAAATGGAAGGCCCCGACGTGAAGGTTGCAATCTTGCTCTAAGGAAACGCTCGTCCAACTTGCTTTTGGGACGAGCGTCCTGTTTCTCGGCTGGCCATTCGATATTTAATTTAGCTACAGCACGAGTAACAACCTCCACGAGCTCCTCATACGCGAGGGACTGTGGTGGCGAGTCCACAATCTCCTCCGTGTCGACGCTCATCACATCAACCTCCTCGGAGGAAGATAGATGAAGCGTCTGGCCCTCTCTCGGGGGGGAAGAAACCGCGGGGCGGGCTTCCGAACCCTGAAAGGGGGCCGTGGATCTAGCGGGTGAGGACCGAGATAAGGACGAGCCCGTCTCGGATCCCTCCGCTAAATCCACTTGCGATCCCCACGATAACAGCCGCCGCTGTGCCTCAGCAACAGCGGGGCCGGACCCAGCAGGATCGCGAGCCTGGCCGGTTTCATCGAAGACGGCCAGGCGGGAGCGAAGCACACGGAGCGGGAGAAGCTCACAATCATGGCAGGCAGCCCCCTCGAGAGCTGCCCGTGCATGCTCCGCTCCCAAACAGATGACGCACAAATCGTGTGTATCCTCACCCGAGATATAACGTGGGCAAGGAGGAACACACGACTTGAAACGCCGTCCGCTCGCCACATTCTTTTTTGATTTTGGCATTGTTTTTCTCGCTTAACTTTGTTTTACTGACTGAGTGCTTTGCATACATTCACACACACACCACAGACGCGCTCGCTGAAGAGCAAAAGCTAACAGCCGCGCTGGCCGGATGTGCCTTTATGCTTCCTGGCTGCTTACGTCACCCCGCTCGTGACGTCTCGCTTCGCTATTGGACTGATTTCACACAGGCTTCAGTACGGTGTCTCGCCGAGGGCGTTCCCAAAGCGTTCGACGCAGCTCGAGTTCCTGAAGGGGAACCATCGTTTGGTGTTTTGTTCCAAATATAGTGTAGTGACATTCATGCATTTTACATGTTCAGACACTTTTTGTGGTCTTTAAAATATATCCATGTACTTTAATAAATATCAGGAGAACCAACATTTCTCTTTGTCTTGTTTTACAGGGGGAACAAGGTCCTGATGGAGAAGGTGGAGCCAAAGGCTATCCTGGCAGGCAGGTGCAGTAGATCTTCCTCTGCTGTGTGGTGTGTATGTGTGTGTGTGTGTGTGTGCATGCGTTCGTTTGTTCGATTGAGTGTGTTTTGCCTTGTTTTTCATTGACTGCTCATGGAAAATATGCAATTAATTTAGCAGTACGTTGCCCTGGCATCGATATTGGGTTTTGTTCAGTATAGCTGCGGGCCACCGCGATTTAAAATCACAGCATTCAATTATAGGAAAGGGTGTATTTGCTCACTCTGACCACTTAGTATCGGGATGTTTTGATATGCTTGTGTTGTTTTCATTGATGGAGTTTTGGATTTAATCATAATAAATCTCCATCCCTTTGAAATATGCATCCAGAACCACAAGCCTTTGGTTTTTAACACATCTTGAGCTCATTGAAGTTGTTTGTATTGAAACATATAAAACGGTTCTTTGGAATACGTAAGTCTGATTGGTCAGTCGATGCATTCTGTGGTCAAATATCACTTTACTGTCTTTTTCTTCTCCCATAATAAAAATCATTCAAGAAGTCAAATCAATATTTCACATAATTTAATTATTGATTTAGTCATCATTGCAAATGAACCCATTTTTCCTTTTTATGACCTAACCAAATCAAGAAAAAGCTAATTTGTCAAACATTTACCATTGCTATTTTGTCAGCCTAAATTTGAAAATATTTATTAAAGAAAATATATAATATAGCTATAAAATATAAAAAATATATTATAAATAAACATATAAAATATAAAGGTGTTTTGTGGCTCTGTTTAATAAGTGAAGCCAATGATAAGACCATTATAAGTTCATCATGGTTTTTGTTGTTGTGGGCACACAAGTTTGGATACTTACTAAAAGAAACAAGCTATTTATTTTGGTTCCATTTTGCCTGTTAAATGATGTGTGTTGATTAAATCCTAAGCCTGTTTCTGAAGCCTCTCTCTCTTTTTCTTCTCTTCCAGGGTTTACCTGGTCCAATAGGGCCTGTTGGGCCAAAAGGGGCTCGGGTGTGTACACGTCTTTTCCCGTTTGATGTATGATTGCAACTTACAAAGCTGTCATTGTGACATTTGAGCTGTCTGAGTGGGCCGATAGTTACCATTGCTAGGCTATTTGCATTGATCTTTTACAAAGCTAAAAATGTAGCTTACGACTTAGTTGAGTTTTAAAGTCAAGTGATTTGACCTCGACTCCATAAGAGAGATTTTTACTACTACAGCTTCTCTTTTCTTTCGTCCCCCTGGTTTTTCCTTTTTCTGTTTTTTGAGTCAACAGAGACTCAACCATGACAAATTTGCTGCTGACAGCTGCCCGAGTCATAAGTGTGCGTTTATGTGTGTTTTTAGCCTCCTACGGTCACATTACCATGTTCACATGTACAGCCACCTTCATTTATATTGCCCTGTCGTCTGTTTGATGTATTCAGAAACAATTTATATTTTATTCTCACTGTGCCACTTTATATAGCGTGCTCACACACACACACGCACTTTAGATGTTGTGTTTGTAGTCAAGCTGTATTAAAGGCTCTTTATCAGGCTAGGCTCCGCCCCCATTGGCTGGAATTTCCTGTTTAAAATCAGACTGAGGCCCTGCTGTTTTTAGGCACCGCACATACACACACACAGACACATGTCTTCCAATCAGTGCTGTGTAGAAACTGATTACGTGCAATCTGGATTACGTAATCAGATTCCAAATATAAAGTACTTGAAATTAGATTATATTACATTTTAAAATGCTCATAATTAGATTACATCTTTATGTTTTACAAAATTATTTACACAGTGGCAATAAACTATTCGTAAATTTATTGATTCACCCCAGTTCTTTTTTTTCCTTTCTAAATGAACCTACCAGTGATATACAGTTTGGGAAACCCTGCTGTAATGTAATGTTTAATGCTTTTCATGATGTTGATATAGAATGAAATATATTTTCTTTCTCTTTGTTTTTTTTAGTTTTTTAAATGAATAAGGAACACCATAATCCCATTCAAGTCTATGTGATAAACGAAAAGTAATCTAAACGTAATCAGAAAGTAGTCAGACTACATTACCTAATATTTGTAATTCAGATTATGTTACTAACTACAATTTTTGTCATGTAATTGTAATTTGGAATTGTAGTCCATTACTGATTCCAAATTACGTGACAAAAATGGTTTTAGTAACGTAATCCATTGAATTACACATTTTAGGTAATATAATCGGACTACTTTTTGATTACTTTTAGATTACGTGTGACTCGTTTATTGCGTTGATTTAAATTGGATAATCTTGTACCATACTGATATAAAAATGCAAAGAGAATAAAAATATATTCCAGTTGTTATTAGCAACATGAAGTCCATTTAGCATTACGTCAAGGTTCGTTAAACTGGGGTTCATGAAGCATTTTAATGTGTTTGAAAGACGCAGGCCTTCCAAAGACAAAGTCTTGTGTGTATAATATGTAATCATGTAATCAATAAAAAAGTTACTGTAGTCTGATTATGAGTATTTTAAAATGGAATATAATCTAATTACAAGTACTTAATTTTTGACATCTGATTACGTAATCCAAATCGCATATAATCAGTTACTACCCAGCACTGTTTACTTAAAATGTCTTTAGAGAAAAGTATTATTTTTCCTATTTTTACCCAAAATAGGGTGGTGTGAGCATTATGGAACGCTATAAACACATGTAATGTACGTTTTATTCATACTGGCGTCCTCATGCAGAAACTCCAAATATGCCTCACTAAAGTAATATAACTTATGACGTTCCACGAAATCCCTAATATGGACAAAGGCATCCAGCTATCGCTGTAACTGAATAAAAAGAAGATAGAAACCCTTTAACTGAGCACACATGAAGACAATAAACACAACTGTTACAATATATGGTTTATCTGTGTTCTTCAAGCCATCTTGGGTATTTTCATAAGAAATATTTTTTTTTGACAACACCAATGTCGACACGTAAAAGCATCTTGCATGGAATTTTTGCTGGATGTTTGTGGGAGTGTTATTGTTGTACCCTTTGTTTGTGCATGTTGTCATCGTTTGTTCCCTGAAGTGAGCGTATGTGCCCTTGGACTACATTGTGGAGGCCAGCACCATGCAGTCCATGGGCATATACACTTACTTCATGGCCTGCATCAACACGAAGACGTCCATCCGTTCATCCATCCATGACCTCTCCATTCATCTGTCCGTCCGTGTGATCAGTTCATACGGTGGATGTCTGCCATTGGATTGATTGGAAGATTAAAGTCTTAAGAGATGATTCGTTTTCTTATTCAGGAGAGTCTATATGTAAATATTAACTTGTCTCAGATGTTTCTCCTTAAACTGTTGATGAACGAAAAGTACAGATCTATGAAATGAATGTGGATAGCATAATAAGCAACCACCTAGAACACCCTAGCAACCACTTAGAAAACCTTAGCAACCATATACCATGTAGCAGCTACCCAGAACACCTTAGCAACCACCTAGAACACCCTAGCAACCACTTAGAACACCGTAGCAACCATATACTTTGTAGAAGCTACCCAGAACACCTTAGCAACCACCTAGAACACCCTAGCAATCACTTAGAACACCTTAGCAACCATATACCATGTAGAAGCTACCCAGAACACTTTAGAAACCATCCAGAACACCCTAGCAACAATATAGCAACAACTCAGAACAGCTAAGCAACGACTCAACAACTTAGCAACAGTATAGGAACTACATAGAACACCTTAGCGAACACCTTGAATGTCCTAGCAACCACATAGCAACTACTTAAACACCTTAGCAACCATCTAGAACACCCTTGCAACAATATAGCAACAACCCAGAACAGCTTAGCAACGACTCAAAACACCCCAGTAACCACATGTCAAGTATCCTGAACACCACTGTTACCGGAAAAAAATGAGATATTTAAAAAGCGTGATTTGTGATCTTTCTTTGCTATTTTCCTCTGCTCCAGGCATCAATATTTAGCTTCCCTCTTTTTCTCTGTTTCTTCATAGGGTTTTATTGGAATCCCTGGACTCTTTGGTTTACCTGGAGCTGATGGTGAAAGAGTGAGTCTGTTCATGTTATGACTCATTTCTCAGCAGTCATGTGATCATAACAGACTCATCAGTGGGCGAATGTTCCGGCAAATGGCTGTTGTGTAACGCCGCTCAAGTACTTTACATGAATCCATTAAAACTCCCACAGATACAAATACCTCATTAATGCAGTCACATCATCGACATGATGAACCATAAAATATGATTTCCTAATCATAGTGTACTAAACACCAAACACTAATTTCTAAACATATGCAATTAATTCAGACTCCATTTAATCAATTTGTGTAAAGATCAGAAGTTTAAATTTTGAAAATATTATAGAATGTTCAGCATTCAAAGTATAAATAACAGCAATTATGTCAATGTAATATTTGCATACTGAATTTGATTTGATCTCATCTGCCTTGAAAATATTTAGCTTTTAATAGCACAGTGACTACTGCTGTGTCCGATATCACATACTTTAAGAGTATCCACTGAATCAATCCTACTCATTGTAACATACTACGTTTTTGCATACTACGGTATATAGTCAATGCTGGGCAGTAACTGATTACATGCAATCTGGATTACGTTATTAGATTACAAAAATAAAGTATTTGTAATTAGAGTATATTGCATAAAATGCTCATAATCAGATTACAGTTACTTTTTATGAATTACATGATTACATATTCACACAATGGCAATAAATTCAAAATTTATTCATAGTTTGGGAAACCCTGCTGTAATCTAATGTTTAATGCATTTCTTGATGTTGATAAAGGATGGAATATATTTTCTTTCTTTTTCTTTCTCTTATTTTTTTCTCTAATATGGTACACAATAATACCATTCAAGTCTATGTGATAAACTAGTTAGGTCAAAAGTAATCTAAAAAATAATCAAGAAGTAGTCAGACGACATTACCTAATATGTGTAATCCAGATTATGTTACTAACTACAATTTTCGTCGTAATCGAATAATCAGTAATGAACTACAATTTGTACAATTTCTTAAAAAAAAAAAAACATGCCCCTTTTAGACTCTTGCACTCTATTCATTTACTAACTGCTTGTTTTCTTAAAAAAAAACAAAAAACACTAGCTTCTCTAATCTTTTTGAATTCTGTTTGTTTTCTTTTTATTTATTATACAATTAGCAAAAGAAAAGGCCTCTAACACTAGCTTGCTCTATTCTTATTAATTATTATATAATAAAAAAAAAAAATCCTTGCTATGTGTACTGCGTTAAGATAACTGAGACTTGTTATAGCACTTGCATATCATTGTTCTCTCTTGTTGATTTTGATTGCTTCCATTGTCCTCATTTGTAAGTCGCTTTGGATAAAAGCATCTGCGAAATGACTAAATGTAAATGTTATGTAATGTAAGTAATCAACCCAGCATTGTATATAGTGTATAGGAAAATGCTGATACTTGCTTGTTCTTACAAACACAGTGTGTTTCCTGAAGAAAAAACAAATCTAGTTATCTATTCCTGTTCTAGTTCTGACTGCTGTTACAGTTATTAATATGGAAATAGATTAGTGGTAGATTTTTAAATCAAGTGCTGCCCACTACTGGTAGATGTATGCCAGTAGATTCCATCATTGAAATGTGTGTGTGTGTGTGCTGTAAAAGTGGAAACTACTTCCAGCTGGTTCTGGCCTTCATCTGAGGGTGTTTGGATGAGTCATATGATAGCAGAGTGTATACACACACACACACACACACACACACAGACAGACAGACAGACAGACAGTAACAGTGCTTCTTTCTAATGGTATAAGACTTTTAATTATTATTAGCATTTATTTAGTGTCTGTCTCTTTCTCTGTCTCTCTACTTTTTCAGGGTAGTCCTGGTCCACCGGGGAAGAGGGGCAAGATGGGTAGGCCGGTAAAGTTTTGTCTCAACATACTTTATAGATACAGATGTGAATTTTTTGTAAGCATGTGTGTGAAATGTAAAAAAAAAGTTATAAGATGTATTCATTTTATTGTATTGCATGGCCCTGCAGTGTAATAAAAAGTACAAACATTCCATGTAGTTTCTCAATATGAAGCCATTAAAGCTTCTTGCATAATAATTAGAAAAGAATTATTTCTTAAATATTAGTTATTTTTATCATGAAATTATCATTGTCCCTTGGGCTTGGGACACAATCGATACACACACACACATACATATACACACTTACTAAGATGCAGAATCAGCCACACAGAGGTTGTTTAAATCAGCACAACCTTTGACATCTGACCTCATAAACTTCCTGTTGAATCAGCAGGGCTCAGTGTGTTATCTGTGTGATGTCATCATTAGCAGCGTTAGCTACCGCTGTCGCTCATGCTAAGGGTTAGTGATTCGAACAATCCCCATAATCCACAGTTTGGTGGGAACATGCTGGATAGACACATGCTAAAAACATTCAGAAAATCCACCACATACCAATGACCTAGCAACTACTTAGAACACCTTAGCAACTGCATACCAGTGGCCTGACAACCATCTAGAACACCCCAGCATCCACTCAGAACATCTTAGCAACTGCATAGCGATATGCTAGCAACCACGTACCAATGGCCTACCAACCATCCAGAACACCCTAGCAACAACTCAGAACGCCTTATAGCAACCACATACCAGTAGCCTGGCAACCATCTAGAACACCCTAGCATCCACTCAGAACACCTTAGCAAGTGCATAGCAATATCCTAGCAACCACATACCAACTCAGATCACCCTAGCAACCACTCATAACACCTAAGCAACCATCCAGAACAGCCCAGCAAACATTCAGAACACCTTAACAACCATCCATAACACCCTAGTAACCACTCAGAACACCTTAGCAAGTGCATAGCAATATCCTAGCAACCACATACCAACTCAGATCACCCTAGCAACCACTCATAACACCTAAGCAACCATCCAGAACAGCCCAGCAAACATTCAGAACACCTTAACAACCACCCAGAACACCCTAGTAACCACTCAGAACACCTTAGCAACCATCCAAAAAAGCCCAACAAACATTCAGAACACCTTAACAACCATCCAGAACACCCTAGCAAACACTCATAACACCCTAGCAACCATCCAGAACAACCCAGCAAACACTCAGAACACCTTAACAACCACTTAGAACACCTTAACCATGCAGAACACCCTAGCAACCACTCAGAAAACATAAGCAACCACATACCAATTGCCTAGCAACGGTCCAGAACACCCTAGCAACCATGCTCTGGCAACCACTCACAATGTAGCTTTGTGGAGGCCACTTTTGCTTCTTTAGAAAAGTCTAATTGTTTAAATATTCAGTGACTGTGATAGTCATGTGTTGTATTGTCTCTCTCTCTCAGGGTTTTCCTGGTGATTTTGGAGAGAGGGGCCCACCAGGACTGGATGGGGAGCCAGTGAGTTTAAAACTTGGTTTTTCATGCATATTCTTTTGCCTTTTTCTCATAAAGCAAATAAAACACTCACAACAGCAGTGTTGTATCTTCTGTACGCGTTTCTTTATTTAAGCTGGTATGGAAGACAAATTTAATTTGTCAAATACAAACAAGGCTGTGAAGGGTATGCTGAATATTAATAACTTAAACCAGCATAAGGTTTGTTTGATGGTTGTAAGGAGTCTTGCAGCCTGGCTTTGCTGGTCTGGTTTGCTGGTTTTAAAGGGTTTTGGGCACTTGTAAACTAGTCAGCCTGGGAGACTGCCTTAAACCAGCTAAGACTAGCAAACCATCTTAGGCTGATCTATTTATTTATTTATTAGATTTTACCTTTTTGTCTACTGGAATTTTATTTTATTTTTCATTCATTCATTCATTCAGATATTTATTTATTTTTATTCATTCATTAGGGAAGGTGTTTGATCCTGCCTCTTTGCCCACTGGGATTTAATTTGATTTTTTTTTTTATTTTTTTTTTTTAATTGATAATTTAATTTATTTATTTTATTTATTTCAGTAGGGAAGGCGTTAGATCATGTCTTTTTTAAACTAGAACTTCTTTGGGAAGGGGGGACTTTCATTCACATCGAATCTGTCCTTACTAAGGTCAATATCATAATAATTAATTATCATTCCCAAAAATGTCTCTGATTGGTTGGAGTAGGTGACATCATATCAGGAAGTGTTTGAGTCAAATCCCGCCTCTTTTTCACCTGTAAATGCGGGGACTGTAAGAACAGGAAGTTGAAAGCCTTCTCATTTCCTGTTCTCCCTTTCCTGAAAAGAGGAGTGAAGTGCTCCTTTCATCCTTTCATCACACCAGGGGAACGAGAGGAAATGGCTCCGGCACGCTGCTGCAGAGGCCAACAACAAACCATCTCTGTTTCTAGAAAAACACTCACACATGCTCGCTCTATGACAGACACTCATTTGAACGGTCATATTAATATCTCTGAATATGAAGAGGGTGCATTTACACAGCACGTATTATAAATGACAGACATTTAGAGGTGCATGCATGTACTAACATATGAAGCACTGGCAGTCTGTACTTGTTTCAGAAGGAAGGCGTAACGCTCTGTGTGTTTCTGTGTTTCTATGTCAGGGTGTTATAGGAGCTCCTGGTCCTCCTGGTGTCCATGGATTGATTGTAAGTGAAATGGTTTACTTAAATTTATTTTAGAGACAGATTTGTGCCCAGAAGTGAGCTAAATCTGACAAAACGAGGCATCCAGAGATGTCCTTGAAAAATGCTTCATGCATAATGAATAAGGTTTTTGTGTGAATGTAAGGATTTACGCTCAGCTAGAGTGACCAGATGACCTTAGTGAGAAAAATTGGGGCAGATCAGAGATGTAGAGCTTGAAATTATATGCAGGTGGAATGCAATATATATATATATATATATATTTGTTTTTTTTTACAATTTATGGAAGTTATGCAGAATATAGGAAACCAAAGAAACATTACATTAAAAATGGGTTTGATGCATCTGAACTTCAGCTAACTTAGACAGACTAACTATTGATATTAAAATCCAACACAGCACAACATTTGCTGACGTGAGGTGTAATATTTCTTCATTTTTTAAAAAGAAAATTAATATTTTTTAAAGAAATTAATACCTTTATTCAGCAAGGATGCATTCAATTTGTTAGAAGTGACAGTAAATATATTTATAATGTTTCAAATAAATTCTGTTCTTTTGAACTTTTACTCATCAAAGAATCCTGAAAAAAATATATCAGTAAATTCCAAAAAATATAAAGCAGCACAACAGTTTTCAACATTGATAATAATCAGAAATGTTTCTTGAGCAGCAAATCAGCATATTAGAATGATTTCTGAAGGATCATGTGACACTGAAGCCTGGAGTAAATTCAGGTTTGTCATCACAGGAATAAATTACATTTTAAAATATATTAAAGTAGAAAACAGTTATTTGAAATAGTAATAATATTTCACAATATTACTGTTTTTACTGTATTTTTGATCAGATAAATGCAGCCTTGGTGAGCAGAAGAGTCTTTCAGAAACATTTAAAAATTGTACCGACCACAAAACTGCTGAACGATAGTTTTGCAATCAAAGTAAATTTCTAAATAATCTTCGGTATTAATCACACCTCACCTATAACATTGTCACTGTCTGTTCACCCTGTGGTCAGCATTTATAAGCACACAGTGTTTCTGTTGTTGTAGTACAGCTGAAATCAGTTTGACCTGAACAGCATGATATGCAAATAAGATCCACAATTGCTTTCACAAATTCTAACAAATTGATAGTATTTTTTCTTTTAGTTTGTACTTGGGTGAGTAACGTGAGATCATGTGCCCCCTGCAGGCGCTCTTAGCATGATGTATTACCTCAATAAAACTAAGAACATTTATCAGAGGAAGTTTTATAAGTTAGATCCTTCTCAAATTGGACATTTAAAAGCACATACAGCACTCATTCCCGTCTCTTCTCTAGGGTGATATGGGCCCTGTCGGGATTATCGGTTTGCCGGGACCAAATGGACTGAAAGTAAGTCATGCACATATGTACCCAACACATATCTCCATCACTCATGGCCACTTTAGCGTATATGTTTGTGTGTGTGTGTGTGTGTGTGTGTTTCAGGGCGTCCCAGGGAACATGGGCGAGCCCGGACTGAAAGGTGATAAGGTGATCTGAATACTCTGTTATTGGCCTGTTTTACAGCAGCATGTGATGGAAATTCTCTCTCCCCATTGGCCACACTGTGTTACGCATGTTTTAAAAGCTCCAGCCTTAAAGGGATAGTTCACCCAAAAATGAAAATTAGACTGTGTTTTACTCACCCTCGAGGCATCCTAGGTGTATATGACTTTCTTGTATATGACCAGTCGGAGTTATATTAAAAATTGTCCTGGCTATTCCAAGCTCTATCATTGCAGTCAGCGGGTGTTGCAGTTGAACAGTCCACAAGTCGTCAAATAAAGCGCGCGCATCCATGATAAAATGTGCCTCACATGGCTCCGGGGGGTGAATAAAGGCCTCCTGTAGCGAATCAATGCGTTTTTGTAAGAAAAATATCCATATTTCAAACGTAATAAACACTTTTCTCTCACTTCCGTATCTGTCATACTCGAAAGCCGTTCCGGATTAATGACGAACGCGGAGAGAGAGCAAAACAAAACGACGGTCACGAATTAGAAGTACAAACTGAGGATTTGTAAAGAAAAATATTGGAGGATTTCAATATAAACCAAGAGCAGACTGGCTTTCCTTTGCTAAAGTATGGAAACTTTGCTTCCTTTGGTCCTATAAACAAACTCGCGAGACTAGCATATCTCAAAGGCGTGCTCTGCCCATACGTCTTATGTCATCCGCCGGAACGGCTTTCGCGTACGACAGATACCGGAAGTGAGAGAAAAGTGTTTATTACGTTTGAAATATGGATATTTTTCTTACAAAAACGCATGGATTCGCTACAGGAGGCCTTTATTCACCCCCCGGAGCCGTGTGAGGCACATTTTATTAATAAACACTTTTCTCTCACTTCCGTATCTGTCATACTCGAAAGCCGTTCCGGATTAATGACGAACGCGGAGAGAGAGCAAAACAAAACGACGGTCACGAATTAGAAGTACAAACTGAGGATTTGTAAAGAAAAATATTGGAGGATTTCAATATAAACCAAGAGCAGACTGGCTTTCCTTTGCTAAAGTATGGAAACTTTGCTTCCTTTGGTCCTATAAACAAACTCGCGAGACTAGCATATCTCAAAGGCGTGCTCTGCCCATACGTCTTATGTCATCCGCCGGAACGGCTTTCGCGTACGACAGATACCGGAAGTGAGAGAAAAGTGTTTATTACGTTTGAAATATGGATATTTTTCTTACAAAAACGCATGGATTCGCTACAGGAGGCCTTTATTCACCCCCCGGAGCCGTGTGAAGCACGTTTATTATGGATGCACGCGCTTTATTTGACGACTTGTGGACTGTTCAACTGCAACACCCCGCTGACTGCAATGATAGAGCTTGGAATAGCCAGGACAATTTTTAAACAATTTTAACTCCGACTGGATTCGTCTGAAAGAAGAAAGTCATATACACCTAGGATGCCTTGAGGGTGAGTAAAACACAGTCTAATTTTCATTTTTGGGTGAACTAACCCTTTAAGTAGCATGTAGTCGAAGAGATTTTATTTCGGTTAGTCAGAAGAAAATGTGAAATTTCTTAAGGTACAAACACTAACAGGTTTTCTCTGTTAGTTTGCGAGAGAGAGAGTTGCTTCCAGGTTCAATACGTTAAACTCTATAAACAGCTTTTATGGCATAATGTTGATTATAATGCTCAATAATTTTGTTTTTAAATAAATAAATAAATACATTTATAATAAATAAACAGCGTTTGTTTATTTATTTATTTGTGCGAAATGTGCTAAATTCTATTGACAGCTTTCATGGCATAATGTTGATCATAATGGTCAGTCATTTAGTTTTTTAAATAATAAATAAAGGCATACATTCATTTTTAATAATAAACGATCTTTATTTATTTATTAAAGCAATGCACGTTAAACTCCATCGACAGCTTTTATGACATTTTATGACATTTTGGTCAAACATTTAGTTTTTTTAATGAAAAAAATATATACATTTTTAATAAATAAACAACCTTTATTTTCATTTTAAACATCTTAAATCAATTTTTAAATCATTTTCAAAGTTTTTAAATTCCTTGTTTTATTGTTGTTATTATTTTTTATTATTCTTTTCTTTTCTTTTATGTAAAGCACTTTGAATTACCATTGTGTATGAAATGTGCTATATAAATAAACTTGCCTTGCCTTTATTTATTTAGTTATTTACAGGAAAGCTGCTTTAAGTAAATCTGTAAATATTTGTTATTAAATAAATAAATGCACATACATTGGAAGTCTAATGATATTATGGTATATTATTGATTATAATGGTCAGTGATTTAGGTTTTTAACAAATAAACTTTATTTAAAGAAAATGTATTTTCAAATAAATAAAATAAATAATAATAATATAAAAAATAAATAAATAAATGCACAAACATTGGAAGTCTATAGGGCCAGCATTCTGGAAGCATTAAAAGTGGAAATGTAAAGCTTGCATTTTTTCCCTTGCCCTAACTTAACCATCATGTTCCGTCACTTTCTCTGGTCTCTTTTCTGACTTTGACTCACATCACAACTTGTTTCTCACTTTTTTTTTTCTCTCTTTAACTTTTTCTCTCTCAGGGTGATGTTGGGCTTCCTGGAGAACAAGGGGAAATTGGGTTCTCAGGAGACAAGGTATACCTTCCATTTCCCCCTGTCAAATACACATTGGCACACTGTGACGTCTAGACGTCTGTTGTTTTGATTAAATCTGACCTTCTAATTGCCCCAATGTTAGAGCTTTCATAGACAGCTACACATGCACTCATGCTCTTGAACGAGTGTTTGTGCTAATATAATGAATATATAACTGTGTGCATATTATATTTGTTTGTTTTAGGGTGTGCAGGGTTTGCCAGGCTTACCGGGACCTCGTGGAAAACCAGGACCACAGGTTTGTTTCTTATCTGTTTTGTATTTCTTTAAAAGAATAGCTCACTCAGACTGAAAATTCTATCATTTACTCTACTCTTTTACACATGTTGTTCCATGAACGTGTATGACTCACTTTCTTCTGTGGAACACAAAAGCAACAGTTCTGCAGAATTGTATCGGTAGCATTTTTCTGTGTAATTAGTTCCCATGAGGACTGATGTTTTCTAGCTTAAAAAAAAGTCTCAAAAGCACTCAACAGTTTTCCCTGTTACTTGTGCGCTGTTTTCAAAGTCACTATTTTCTTCTGAGCTCATACAGAATCACACATGTAGTATGAGTAGTATGCTGCTTTTTACATTCATTTTGGAGCTTGAAAGCCTCATTCTTCATTCAAATGTAATTGCATGTGAAAGAGCAACATTACATTTCTTCAAAAAACTCCTTTTGTGTTCTATGGAAGTAAGTGGTATTTGGGGAATCTGCATATGAAAACTGCTCAGTTGTTTGTCAGCTTTCTGTGATGTTGTGTATAGTGGGATTTTTGTTTGCAATTCTGAAAATGTATACTGAAAATGTGTGGTTTTGATACGGTTTTAGAGGCTTTAAAGTTGCATTGATAATGCATTACATAGTTTGTTAACTTCAAACTCACAACCTGTCAATAATATATACATTTTTATGCAAAATATATGTATTTTGTAATATTTGTTTCCTGGAATAACATAAAGAAGATGAATCGTTCCTTTAAAATAATATATTTTTTTACCCATAATCAAGTATTAAAAAGCTAAATAAAATCCGTACAACATAGTGTAACTGAACTTCAATTTCTGCGAAAGTATTTATTTTTCTGATTTTGTTGATTTGTGCAAAAGTTTTTTACTCAGTCATCGAATAACCTTAAAATAATCACAAGTTCCATGATTAATTTTCTTATATGCACAAAATAAATACATTTAAAAAAAATGTAATATAACACCCCTTCCCCAGCCTGTTAATATTCAATACAATGACATAAATGCACAACATTTAAATTCAAATTCAGTTGTTTTTAATTACATAATTTACCCGAGAACAAATCAGAAGTTGTCCAATTATCAACATTCAAATCTGAGCGTATGGGGGTCCAGAGTACAATATCTAACAGTTTAACCTAAAATCTCATGATCTGAAGGTTCAGTTTATTTGATTATGTGTGTGCCCGTCAGCATATGTGTGTATTTGTGTGTTTTGAAGGGCAAGACAGGAGAAAGAGGGTCCAGTGGATTACCAGGCCCACCAGGACTCGAGGTATGAATCAACATGTACCACATAACCATAAAACACTGATGCTTTTGCATGTCTGAATGTGTTGCCACAGCTTGTTCTATTGATGATGTCAGCAAATACAACTGATGCTGATTGGCTGACGTACTCATTGAGGTACGGTTAATCCTTCACAGGGTTTCCCTGGTGACATCGGAAAACCTGGACTCAATGGACCCGAGGGCCCAAAGGTGTGTTATGTATAAGGAAAACCTTATTAAAACAAGTGTTTTTAATATTTGCACACTTATATTTGCAACTTCATGCTGTTGACAAATGTTTTCTTCATAGGGTAAGCCTGGTGCCAGAGGTTTACCTGGACCTCGTGGAGCGGCTGGACGAGAGGTGTGTGTGTTATTAATAAGCTATAAACGTCTTTCAAATAGACTTGTGAGACTGCAATGAGTTAATCTTGATTTTAATTTGTAGGGTGATGAGGGTCCTGTAGGATTACCGGGGCCAGTAGGACTCGAGGTGAGTTGTGAATCTGCATATGAAATTACGCTGTTTTTGCTGGTTGTTTGCCGGCCTTAAGGCCTTTCCACACTGACGGCGAGGCGAATCGCCAACGAATGGTGCTTTCACACCGAGCGCGAAACGATTGTTCGCCTTCTGCTAATTCACACCTGCACGCTAGGTGGCGCCAACCAACAATGCATTTTTCCTCAGATATGTATCTCGTATATGGATGTAACATCTAAATTAAGATAAACAAAGTTTGGCTCTACACCAGAAACACAAACTATCTATAATGCTTACAAGAATAGGCTACATCCTAAAATATAATCAGAAGTACAATTAGCATCAAGCTACACTTGAAAATTTATTTGCTTAACCACTTTAAACCATCATCGAGTGCTTGTAATAACTTCCTATTTTGATTTATAGTTGATTTTGATTCTATAATAAGCAGACACATGCACTCTTTGTATGTTTAATAACGCTACACTGCTAATATTTTTCATAAACATCCTTTATTGCTATAAAAAAAACCATAGGCTGCATACAAAAGACACAGAAAATATATCGTCATAATCATGTCTATTTGCTTTCATATTTCATGTCTAGAAAAATGTTTCACTCGATTTTTTTAATACGTAAGATCTAGACTAAGCGTGAACGCGCTCTGACTCATAACACTCGCGCACGTGGAAGAAAATGGACGGTGCTCTACAGATCACATGATTCAGTGGAGAATTATTAGAAATGTTATTCTGTATAAAGAACATGTGAGAATAAATCTGTTCTTAAATACCAACGATAACAAGAACTCAGCATCCACTCTCTTCTCTTATCCGGGATACTCTTCTTTGGTGTTTGTTGGTTTTCGAAACAGCGCCACCACACTCACCCTTTTGTGCAACAGCAGCTGCTCCGGTCACGTGATCCTAGCTCAAATCTTATTGGACGACCCGTGTTTTTGCTTTGCCAAACTGAAAAGATTCGTCAGACTGGTGCGGAAAAAAACATTTGCATTTTTGGTGCACGAATGTTCGCGGTCTATGTGGAAGCATCCATAGAAATTTATTGTTTTATTCCAGCGCGTCATCGCGTCCGATATTCGTTTCGCTTTTTCGCGCTCAGTGTGGAAATGCCTTTACTGTGATTTTGTTTGTAGTTTTTTTTTGTTGCAGTTTTGATGTTGTTTTAGAGGCTTTAAAGTTGCATCGATGATGGTATTGCATTTGTTAATTTTATACTGTTGCAAATTTACATCTTTGGGTGAATGGCTGTCAAAAAAATCTATCAATTTTGTATGCTTTTTTGGGGGGGGAAATTATTTGTTTTCTTTTGATTTATGGTTGAAAAAAATAAATTTTTATTAATGTTTTTGTTAAATCATTTTTATGTAAAACAGTTTGAATTACAGCTGTGTATGAAATGTGCTCTATAAATGAAAAAAATTATTTAATTTCAATAGCACATTGAGATCATGTGACATTCTCATTACACATAGGTTTCATTCTCTTTATGCAAAATGCTATTTATTTAGCAAAATGCATTTTCTGGTGCAGTCTAGTCTGTCGTCATCATTTGTCTTATAACAAATCTTTTATAGGTTTTGTGTTTGCGATTTTGAAAATGTATATTGGAAATGTGTGTTTTTTTTGTTTTAGAGGCCTTAAAATTATATTGATGATGATATTGCATTTGTTAATTTAAAGCTGTAAAGCTGCAAATATACATTTTTGGATGAATTGACCTCAGAACTTATCAAAAATATATTCATTTTTATACAAAATATATATTTTTAAATGATTTGTGGTTGAAAAATGACCAAGAGTCCGTTTTTATATTCTGTGTGAGCAAAGCAAAATGTGTATTCACCCAACGGACCACAAGGTGGCGCAATAGGGGATTTCAATTTCGAATAGCTTTAATTATGTTTAATATATCAATGAATTATAGAGGCTGGGAATTTCTTTTGTAAAAGACAGAAGGAATGAATAAATCCAGCATCGTAAATCAGGAGGCTCAGAATCTGCTGCGATCAGCCTCTGTATTACATAACATTCCCGCTCAGTCTCTGTTTTTCCTCTTTTCCCTTCTTTCGTTCCACTTTTTTCTTGTTTAACCAAACTCAGTGCTTCTCTGGCACAAACTCAGAACATTTCTCTATGTTCTCCATCATTCTGTCCTCAGACAGGTATCTGTTTTCCTCATCTCTCTCTGTGTCTCTGTTGTGCGGTCAGTAATTGGATATGTCTTGGTGAGACTTTCAGTATGTTCTTCTTTGTGCTCTGGACGCAGCTCTTGTGCATTAGTATGCATACTCATGTCTTGCTCCAACATAATCAAACATGTGACATATTTAATGGGTGAATCTCATGAAGAAATGTCATATTTCACCAAAAGCAAAGGGGAAGAAAAGAGAATTATGTTTTGCATAAAAATGAAGCTTGTTTATAACCATTACGATTTTTTTGCTATTATGAAATTATTTTCATTTATTTGGGAATCACTTAGACTCGCTAATTAGGACTACATTGAATGGCTTAACTCATGCATATCAATTGTGCATGATCTCTTATGCTTTGATGAATTATTTTCCAAGATTTCAAGTCAAAGCTGAATTATAAAACGCAACATTGTCATTAGAAATATCTGGAAGTAAACTGAACAATAATTAAATTCAGTTAAATAATGTATTATATATTGTATTTTCTATGTAGCGATAAATAATATTATAAAATAAGTATTATAATGTATTATAACTGTGTTTACACTTATTAATGAGATCATACAATGCATTATAAGATTATATATTTCCATAAAAAAGTTAAAATGCATTATATTTGCACATTTCTTGTTACATCTGAAATTGGTTGTTCGCTATGTGTTTTAATGCATTATATTTTCTGTGTAACAATAAATACGTATTATAATGTATTATAACTGTATTATAATGAGATGAAACAATGCATTATAAGGTGCATTACAAGGCATAATTAATGCATTAAAATAATTTTATAATGCATTATATATAATATATATTTATATATATTATATATATAATTCAATAGCGCAACAGCAGAATTGAGATCCCATGATGTTCTCATTATCAGCTGTTTATGCAAAATACAGTTTCTTTTTTTCTCTTTCTGAAACAGTTTATATGTACAGTCTAGTCTCTCATCATTATTTGTCTCATAACAAATGGTCTCTTTTCTGTCTGTATTTCCAGGGTCTGATGAGCAGTAAGGGTTTCCCTGGGGCTGTTGGACCTGAAGGGGTCAAAGTGAGAACATAAGCAGAATATAAACACACACAAATCTCCTCCACACACACGGTCACTCAAACACTCTCTGATGTCTTTCAGGGTGAGCAGGGTGTCACAGGAAAGGCTGGACCCATGGGTGAGAGGGTGAGTACACAGACTGAGTTATGGCCTTTAACCACACTTTGACCCTCACACTGATGATGTTGTGTTTGTAGGGTCTCGTTGGCTTCATCGGCCCTGCAGGGGAGACTGGACTAGCTGGAGAGAAGGTAAGACACACCTGAGAGCATCAGCTCAGCATATTAGAATGATTTCTGAAGGATCATGTGACACTGAAGACTGGATAGATATGAATGCTGAATATTCAGCTTTGATCACAGGAATAAATTAAATTTTGCAATATATTCAAATAGAAAAAAAAATTGTAATTATGTTTCACAATATTACTGTATTTTTTGATAAAAAATAAATGCAGCCTTGGTGAGCAGAAGAGACTTCTTTCAAAAACATCAAAAAATCTTTTGAGCCGTAGTGTGAATGTTCTGTTATGTGATTTATTTAGGGTGATCGTGGAGAGATGGGATTGCCCGGACCTCCAGGAGAGAAAGGATCCACCGTACGGCACACATACACCGCACATAAATTCTCAGCATGCACTTCCGCCCTCATTCTCGCTCCTTCAAATTATGAATGTTGTTTAAAACAGGAAGTTCAACTGTCCATCATAGATAAATGGCCCACTTCCTTCCAGCTCCTCAGCAAATGTCAAAAGTTTGGACAAAAGGTTTTGGCAAAATGAAGTATTCAGAATGTATTATTTAACTTGTAGAAAAAGTGGAAATCAGGATTAGGCATAAAATAAAGTCTTCAGAATCATTCATACTTGTGAGAATTGAACAAATAGTTGTAATCTGCTCAGATTCAGACAGGAACCATGTCTGTGTGTCAGTTTTCTGTTGATTAAGGGGTAATACAAGACTTCATCACCTTACAAATGATTGTCAAAAGCAAAAATGATACAAAATCCATAATATTTAGTGAGAAAGAGTGGCGTGCTTAAGCAAAACAGACACTATTTTTGAATCAGCATCCCAAAATTAGTAAAAAAAAAAAAGTATTGGATTTCATTCAGCAGATATGATGCAGGGTGGTGTAATAATGCCGTACTATAGAAGATATAATCTAATATTTTGTAATGTAGTATTTCATTTATACGCGTATGTTTTGTATGGTGTGTGTGTGTGTGTGTGTGTCTTACATGTTTCCCATCACTTACAGGGACACCCAGGAACCCCTGGAGAGAGCGGCCCACCAGGACCACCAGGCAGTCCAGTAAGTCGACAGCAGATACTTCAGATAGTTTGGATGTCAGAAGGAAGCTGATGGTTGTACGCCGGCATCACCTGCTGTCCTGTCGGTCAGCTGTCAGACACCTCTGTGTAAAGTTCTGTGCTTACAGTTTGGACAGACAAAACAAACACAAACTCTTATTAGCAGTGAGAGAGACAGGAGCCAGTCTGCCTGATATTAATCCCCCAAAAAGAGAAAAACACAAGTGTGCACACGTAAATGGTCTCTTTTTTTTTATAGGGCCCACCGGGATCACGTGGACCCATCGGCATGAGAGGAGCTAAAGGAAGACGGGTAAGTCATCTGGGCATCAGAAGTGTGTAAGCATGTGGAAGTCAGTTATTTTGCTTTTATCTTTAGTAAAACAGGACAAGGGCTGAACCTGTGGCCTTCTGATTACCAACCACCACACCGAACCATTTCAGTTATAGTTACTTTAACTGGTAGTTTAGTTAGTTAGTAGACTGATAGCCTAGATAAGTTATCTGATAGATAGATTTTTAATTAGTAATTTAGTTAGAAAACTGGTAGACTAGTTAGTCGTCCAATAAATAGATTTTTAGTTATTTAAAATGAACTAGGCTAGTTAAGATATCTGATAGATAGATTCTTTGTTAGTTAGTTAGTTAGTTAGTCGCCCAGACAGATAGATTCTCAGTTAAACTGGTTGGTAAGTTAAATTGACTGATATATAGATTCTTAGTAATTTAGTTAGTTAAACTAATAGACTAGTTAGTCATCCAATAAATAAATTCTTTGTTTGTTACACTTAACTAGGCTAGTTAAGTTATCTGTTAGTAGATTCTTTGTTAGTTAGTTGGTTAAACTGATAGGCTAGTTTGTCATCTGATAGATTTATTCTTAGTTAAACTTAACTAGGCTAGGTAAGTTATCTCATATATTGATTCTTAAATAGTTGGTTAAACTGATAGGCTAGTAAGTCATCCAATAGATTCTTAGTTAAACTGGATGGCAAGTTAAATCGTCCGATAGATAGATTCATAGTTAATTAGTTAGACCACATGTATCAAACTCAAGGCCCGCGGGCCTATTCCGGCCCGCCATATCATTTTGTGTGTCTTAAAATAAAAATCTGTGCAGCTTTATATGGTAAATTATGAAAGTGCGTATCAATACCACAAGTTTCTGTTTCTATTTGCCGTTCTATTTATACGCATAAATTGACTTTGGTGTGCATATGATACGCAATGGTTAGGATTAGGGGTGTGGGGTTTTTCCATCGATGATGACTGCGTGGACGGCTCAAAGGAATAAGTGCGGACCTCAGTGCTAGAGCCCCACCGACGGAAATGGAAAAACACAATATTCTCCATTCATTTAACGAATTAAAAAATCGATTGCAGCTTTCAGACATGACTTTCTTCTCTTTTTAAAAGTTCGTTTGAGGCCGTTTCTATTGAGTTATTTTAATGACAAATGTCCAGAGCGCATATTGCCTATGCGAGAGCGCATCAAATGCTCGAGTGCAAATCTCTCTGCTTGCAGGTGGATTCCCATTCATTCACTCTCACAGAAAACAGACACGCTTTCTATCGATCATTATATACGTGCGCTCAAAAATTATCTTCTCTCCTGAGTTTAATAAACGCAACCTGGAGTGTGGGCATCCACTGGCAGAAATATACATTGGCACATATGCCAACTAATGTAAATAAGTATTTACATAGCATAACAGTAGTAGTCTAAATGTATGTTTCGCACGTGTCAACAATACATTATGAAAATAAAAAGAAGCAGGTTTTTTTGCGATCACATCAACTGGCAAACTCCTGGTGCACTCATAATAGAAGTGATGCGTTTTTTCCAGCAAGATGAAAGCATTTCAACTTTTCAGAATGCCGCAAGCGCACCACGCGTCATGTGACAAGAACCAACCAATCAGCTTCACTCTTTCCTTAACAACATTGAAATTTAAGCCAAGATGAAGGAACAGCTGTTCATAACTGTACAGTGAAACCCATTTTTGAAATTCATCTAGTAGTAGAGCTACTACAAGTGATTTATGGTGCTGGAAATATATTTATCCTGTGCTGAAACTTTTGCGTTGTCATGGCGAGCGCACGTCATGGTTGCTTAGGCTAGTCTGATAGGCTAGTTAGTCGTCCGATAGTCCGATAATTAGTTATTTAGTCAGGTAGTTAGTTAGTTAAAGCTGTTAAAAAAAATTTAGTTAAATTTTTGAGCAAGTACATAACCAGCCAGTGTTCAAAACTATCTCCTTACTTTAGCCCAATTCACAACGGTAAGCTTATAATAATGTTTTCTAATTTGAGTGGTACTGGTAGGAATTCACGGGAAATTCGAGCATGCCGCTGCGTCATTACGTCACGTCTGTAAACATAAAGAAGTTGTCCCGGCTACTAGGCTATCGCATGTGAGGATCCTGCAGGTGGCGGATCGTTTCTAGCCTTTTCTCACAGCAGCTGGAATAATTAAACTTATCATTTTGATCGCCGATTGTAATTCAGAAAGGATTATGTGTTTATGAAACACAAGTGACTGAAATTAGATTATACTCCAGTTTTAAATGTGCATCTGATTACAGATAGCCTGGGATTACACAAGATTTGTATTTTAAAGACAACCAGTTCCAAGTAAGAATAATTAGCTTTTTGGGTTAAAAATAAAATAATTTCTTTATATGAAATTCGAATGGCATGACAATTATAGATTACTGTACAGAAATTGAAATCTATGCTAATACACACTACATACACATAGTCACGCAATGCTGATGTTGTTAACATTAACATTTTAAAAACAGAGTATAACAGTAATAATAATTTGCACGGTTTGAAGTGATATGACCTAATTAACTGATCGTTAGATTTAATCACCATTGTTAGCGCGATTTATTGTAATGCTTTTTTCCTCAGCTGGTCAGAACAAAGGGGCAGACTTGTTACTTGCTTGTTCAGATGGCAATATATGGTGAAAATTCTTATTTGGGTCATATATTCCAAGACGTAGGATAGAATCTGTGAGTGCGAAGTACATTAAATATCCACACCAGTGCGGTGACTGACTGCCACACATACTGTGTGTGTGTGTTAGTTTGCTTGGTCAGCCAGGCCCATTGTGCCTGGCCCCGGGGGTCATTTACGTCTCTTTGGAATGTGTTTGAAACTCCAAATGAAGGCGCGAGTGGTGAAACTGTTTAGCATCTCCCTGATAGGGGGGGGGAACCATTTGACATTTAGCACCCATATAAGTGTAATGTCTGTGACCAGGACTGTAATTTATATGCAAATGTCAAAAGCTAAAAGGGTCTCTTAAGCCATAAAACCCAAAGATCATGCATGATTCTACGCAGACGCTACATGTGATTCCGAAGTACAGTAAATATCCACACCGGTGCGGTGACCACTGACAGCTACACATACTCCTCAAAACATTAGATTCATCCGCACTGGATCCATGCCGGTGCACAACCCACGTAATAAAGATAATTCCGCAAGTAACTGCAATTGCAGGTTTCAAACAGAGATGGCGACAAAGAGTCAAAACTTACGGACTGCAGCTTTAAACTGGTAGACTAGTTGGTACATTTTACCAGTTTTTATCATACTTTCAAAACAAAAATTAAAATAGGAAAAATATGCAATATGAAAATAATTGAAAACAAAATGTGTTTTACTGAGAAAAAACAAGATTTGGTTTTTAAAAAGCCTTTTTCCAAAAGGTACATCTGGAAAAAGGGGGGTCGTCTTATAATCAGGGTCGTCTTATATTCGGGCCAATACGGTAATAGTCAGAAAGATAGATACACACACTCGAAAAAAACACACACATGGCAAATGTTTTCCATTAACTGACAGAATCAACATGAATTACTGGAGAGAAGACCGAGCACAGGGATGCAATGGAAGCAAACTTAGGAGAGTTGAGAGTCTCTGTGCCACTGTCTGGTCTTAGTTAGAGCCCCTCACTGAGTCCGTAAATCAAGTTGTTGTCCTGATGATTCATTGATTCAGTGCTGATGATTTTGTTTCCTGCCTTCGTCACTGAGAAGTTGAACGGGCCAAAACAGCGTAGAGTGTATGTGATATACTGACAATGCCTGAAGAGTCTTTATATATCTTTGTCTTTATTTAAAACAGACAAAAACATATCTTTCAAAAATACTTTATGCAGGTAAAGGTGAAACTGTAACCAGTTCTTCAATGGTAGAAAAAAGCATTATTTATTATGCATGCATTATGTATAATATTTTATGTTGTTGTTTTGTTTTTGTTTTTATGCCCTCTTGCCACGTTTTAGTGGTATTTGCTAAAGAAAGTATTACTATTACTTTAGATATCTGAACAAAATCCTAACTCCTTTATTTAAAAAAAGTCCCATAGACTTACTGAAGAAGGAACTCGAGACTTGCTGAAGGCTAGGCCGTGATTCTGACCTATTTTCTGTATATTTAATGTTCAAGTTCTGTTTAATGTCCTCATTTCTTGGCAATAAGGGCTTTTCTGTGACAAGTTCAATATGGTATCAGCACAATAGAAAGACATTCACTAACGTTCCTTGTGACCTTGGATGTTTCTCTGTATTTGAAGCATACAAATGAAAACCGCATTTACTCTGGTTAGATAACAACACGCGGGACCTCCAGAAAGACATCATTGCTGCACTAAAAGGTGCTGAGAAGTAATGAGTCACTTTATTTTCTATGGTTTATGGATGTATAACGGGATGGCCAGAATATTAATAACAGTAGTAACCCATATGAGGTATTCCACATATTTTACTGAGTACCTTCAGCCCCTCCAGTGTGTGTGAGAGAGCGAAACAGACAAAGAGAGCGTGTGCCAGCTGGCAGAGACTGTGATGATATTGTTTCAACAGTCTGATGTTTTTTGGCCGGACGCACACACCATAAGATTGAGAATGTAATTATCAGTGCGCACACGCATTCTTCGAGAGGGAGCGAATGTGTGTCTAGTCTCTTGATGAATTCCTTGTGTTCAGATCTCTTCAGATTTTATAGGCGAGCCAAACCATTGTTTGTGATAGCGAGGATGATTCGGTTGTTTAGGATAGTGTAGCATTAAAGGAACACTCCACTATTTTTGAAAATAGGCTCATTTTCCAACTCCCCTAGAGTTAAACAGTTGAGTTTTACCATTTTCGAATCCATTCAGCCGATCTCCGGGTCTGGCGGTAGCACTTTTAGCTGCAGCTTAGCATAGATCATTGAATCTGATTAGACCGTTGGCATCTTGCTCAAAAATGACCAACATTCAATGATCTATGTTAAGCTAAGCTAAAAGTGCTACCGCCAGACCCGGAGATCGGCTGAATGGATTCGAAAACGGTAAAACTCAACTGTTTAACTCTAGAGGAGTTGGAAAATGAGCCTATTTTCAAAAATAGTGGAGTGTTCCTTTAATGTGTAAGAGATTTTTTGTGTGCATCTAGACAAAGACAGATGCAACATAGTTCTGTGTCATGCTTAGACCCTCAAGAGCCTCTTAAACATTGACCTACATGCACAACTCCAAATATCCCAACATATCCCACACATCCAAAATCTACAGTACAGCTCCCCCTAGTGTTTGAAGATATACTTCCGGATTTAAAGTGTGTGTTTGCATACATGCTGGTTGGGATGTCACAAGATGGCTTAGATCATGAATATTATTTAGATTATGCTCAAATATTTTAAAATGATAATTTATTGTTTTAATAAATAGCCATGTAAGTAATATAATGATTCAGTGAGTATTTTCTATAGTAGTTTTTATTATCTTTACATGTTACATGTTATTTATATACATTAACACTCAGTGCTATTTTAGTATTATTTATATACTATAATATTTATTAATAATGTGAATTAGCTTTTATTTTTATATTTTAGTTTTAATAATTTTGTGCTTTTGTTATTTTTTTTATTTAGCTTTAATTTATTTTTGTTTATTTCAGTTTTAGTTAAGTCATTTTAGTACTTCAACTTCAACTTATTTTAGCTAGTTGCCAAGGTTTTTTCATCATTTTTTTCATCATTTTTGTTTTTCATCTAATATTTATATTTTATATTATTTCAGCTTTATTTCATTTGACAAAAGCAATTTTTAATAGTTTTGGTTTTAGTTTAATAATTACAACAATGGAACTATAACAAATTGAAATATAAAATGCTAACTAATTTAAACAATTTCAGCAGCTCAATTTCAGCTATTTTTTTTGTCATAAAAAGTTCTATTACACAGTGATTTGATGGAGCATTCATTCTTGTTGAGCAATTCAGTTTAATTTAATACAATTTCAGTAAGGCCGTTAAACATTAAGAAGAAGAAGAAGAAATTTCAATAATATGATTAAAGACAATGCATTCAACCTGACCATTCAAGTGTGACCAAAAGTATTATAAGCTGTCATGTGATCTCCTTCTTAATTCTTATTATTTAATCAGACTGCCAAAGTTCACAAAAGTGTGTCCGATTTGCGCCTCTGTTTTAGGGTCCTAGAGGTCCGGACGGTATGCCAGGCGAACTCGGCGCTGAAGGCAAAAAGGTAAAGGCCGCTGTCCTTCAGAGCTCACCTCATGACTAAAGATAAATGCTGTACACATTTGAATCTAACGTTAATTTATGTCTCCTCACAGGGTCTTGATGGTCCTCCAGGAAAAATCGGTTTCCCGGGACAAGCGGTAAAAACACATTCTCCTTCTGATTGTGTTTCTACAGTAACTGTTGCCATGTCTCTCCGATCTTTTCTATGGTAACAGTCTCTATGTCTGTCCAATCTCTCTGCAGGGCAAGATCGGGGAGCCTGGGGAGGCGGGGCCAAAGGGATTTCCGGTTAGTTTCTCTATTGAAATCTATATACTGCATATTTTAGGACTGTTCCTTAAAAATGTCATTTATTTATGTAATAATAATACATTTTATTTGTAGAGCACATTCCATAGATACAATGCAGCTCAATTTGTGTCACGGGACAAAAATATAAAAATAAATTATTTATAAAAAATATTTAATTTTTACAATATTCTCTTTTTTTAATGTTAATTTATTATTTATGATTTATTGCCATATTAATCATTGATTTATTTACTTGTTGCATTATTTAGTTTATTCAACAATACATTTTGACTTTGTTTCTGTAGGGCATTCAAGGGCCATCCGGGGCTACAGGAGACAAAGGAATCGCAGGAGAGCCAGTGAGTGATGCTTTATTTCTGTTCTACATACAGAAACACATTTTCCAGTGTCTTTTTATGTAAACCTACTTTACGTCCTCTGGGTGTTGCGCAACTCCAGAAGATGGGTTTTGAGCACTGTGTATTTTTGTCTCGTTCAGCCCTGAAATATATAGAACAATCGAATTCTCATGACCGAGTCCATGACTCTTTCTTGGCATTCAGTTGTCATATGTAGTTTGTTAAATGTTTGTGATTATGTAGCTGTAAAATGTAAGTAAGATCTGCAGTAGTTTTGCCAGGCTGTGAGACTGTACACACACATCTGCTTCACAGTTTAAGAATTTGGCTTCAGATAATGGGAGATTGTAATGTTGAAATGTGTGTGTGTGTCTGTTTGTATGTATGCATTACTGATAAATGATTTGTTTGTTTGGGACCAGGGACCTCCAGGGCCCCCAGGAACACTCGGGCCTCCTGGAAATCCAGGGCCAAAGGTAATACACTCCACACGTACACAAACACACGTCCAGGTTTTCTGCTGCTTCTGTCTGTTTTGGTTCCCTTGATTGTGAATGATACTGAGATTAAATGATTGCCCTGTTTAATCCTATTTACTCCTCTTTCATTCTTTAATTGATTAATGAAAGTAATTTTAGGTCATTAATCCATCAGTTTTGGCACCAAAAAAAACATGGAAATAGAAAAATGTGTGCTCTCTCTTTGTCTCAGGGCCCTGCGGGAAAAGTTGGCGATCCCGGACTTCCAGGAGAACCTGGAGAAAAGGTGGGTAAACTGTTGGCTCTTTGCACTTTGGAGTCTTGTTACCTTAAAAGCATAAGAGTCATAAATCCAATGTCCAAAAGAACAGCATTCATTTGAAATAGAAATCTATTGTAACGTTATAAATGTCGTTACTCTCACTGTACATCAGTTTAATGCGTTCTTGCTGAATAAAAGTATTAATTTTCCAAAAATTTTGAAATGGTAGCATATCAGGGTTTACACAAAAATAATAAGCAGTAAAAACTGTTTTCAACATTGATAATAATAGTAAATGTTTCTTGAGCAGCAAATCAGCATATTAGAATGATTTCTGAAGGATCATGTGACACTGAAGACTGGAGTGATGATGCTGAAAATTCAGATTTGCATCACAGGAATAAATGACATTTTACAATATATTCACATAGAAAACACTCATTTGAAATTGTAATAATATTTCACAGTATTGCTGTTTTTACTGTATTTTTGTGTTTTTACTGTAAACTTTTGACTGGTAGTGTGTATATTATTTATATGTGCTTATTTTGGCAACCTTGTAGTTGTTTTTTTATTTTTAAATTGTCTATTTTATGTTTATTGAATTGAATGGAAAATAACTAATAAAGGTTTTAAAACTGCATTCAAACGTTCTGAATTTTAGCAGCAGGTTTGGAAAAGTTCCATACAACACTATAAAAAAAATTGAAAATAACAGCCCTTATAACATTTAGTTTGACTTCTGGAGATTGCTAATCAGCAATTTCCTCCTTTTCCTGCCCATTTGTTGGGGGAAAAAAACTACATTTTAAGAGCTGTAGGCCCTATTTTGTACCCTATTCATGAAAAGAGCCTGAAATTAGTGTTAACCCATTTCCCATAATTTTCTTGCTTGAGGTGCTATTATGCTGCACTAAATAACTGTTGCTAAATCGGCTTTTCGTTGGCAGTTCAAGGCCCCATTGAGCTTCTGTAATGAGTAGCACAGCGCATGTGTCGCAATCACAGTCTGAAGAGGAACCATATGACTATATTTGTATTGTTAAAGTTAGATAATGTTAGCCTGAGCTTGGCAGACGCAGATGTGCTGTCACACATCATTGGTTATAATTGCTGTTTGGCTGACTGGACTTATGTAATTAAATAAAACGAATGTGAACTTGCTAAAAAAAGAATAAAACAACCTGTGTGTTTGGACTCTTATTATGTCTTTTCATTGTTTTTGCAGGGGTCACTTGGGCCTGCGGGGAACGCTGGGGCAGCAGGACTAATCGGAACAAGGGTGTGTGTTCAATACGTCTGTGAAACATTGATTTGACTTGTATGAATGCACAAAAACAGTATTAATTTTATCATGTTTTTGTTTGTTTGATACAGGGAGAACCAGGTTTAGAGGGAGAGGCTGGTCCGGCTGGCCCTGATGGTGCCAAGGTAATAAATTGTTCACAAGTATTCAAAAATACATTATTTAAACCACAAAAATTGTTGAAAGAACAACAAATTGGTTTTGAACAGGGTGAAAAGGGCGACATGGGCGGAGAGGGTGAGCAGGGTGTCAGAGGTGACCCGGGAATCAAGGGGAAAGAAGGGCCACCGGGCGACCCTGGGCTTACTGGTGTCAGAGTGAGTGATGCAGATGTGCACAAACAATATCACACTCATATTTTACTTTATACTTCAAAACACATACTGCATACAGGGTTTTCAGTTAGTAAATAAAACGAGAGTACTAATTATGGGGAGTTTGGGGTTGTCTCATAATAAAGGCATGGCCCAAAAAAATCTAGTAAAAACCAAAAGATTAGGCAATCTTAAAATATGCAAAAAGTTTAAATTTTTACGAATAATATATATATATATATATATATATTATAAATCTGGTAGTTAACCTTTGTAACAGTGGATCATTCATGCGCTTTGGATTATGATCAGTAAAAACATATTTTTTTTGCATATTACACATGTCATCTATCACAAAAAACACTTGAAAAAACTTGAAAAATTTGACAAATCTCAACAATTATGCCTAAAAATGACCTAAAGAACTTTGACCCCTCAGAAAAGTTAGTGAATGGGAAAAAGCTGTTATTTTAGTATTATTTATAATAGTATTTGTTAATATAATACTTTGAATTTGCTTTTATATATATTTTAATTTTTTCACATTTTAATTTTTCATTTTAGACTTTATAATTTAGAATTATAATGTTTAAATTTTAGCCTGTTTATTTAATATTTAGATTTTAATTTAGCTTTTTAATTTGGATTAAGCTTACATTTGAGTAATTTTAGTAATTAGTAATTTTTATATACTTTTGTCATTTTTGTTATTTATTATTATTATTTTTTATATTTCTACTTCACTTTAATTTGTTTTTATTTTAGTTTTAGTAATTCAAGTAACCTCAACTTACTTAGTTTCAGTTAGTTTCCAAGGCAGGAGTTTTAATTTTCTAGTTTTTTACTTTTTTTATTATATTATATTATATTATATTATATATTTTACTTAAGCTTTATTTCAATTAACATTAACTATTTTAATAGTTTTAGTTATTTTAATAATAATATATAATTTTTTGCGAAATGATGGTGGGGATTGTTTTTGTTGCTTTCCCTCATTTTTGCATGTGTGTTTTAGGGTCCTGAAGGAAAACCTGGCAAAAATGGCGAGAGAGGGAAGCCAGGGTTTAAGGTAAGACATTCGAGTTTAAGATAGCAAGTTATTTAATTCTCTTTAATCCATTGTGCACAGTAGCTATATTGACTGCACTTTCCCATTGCCTGCAGGGTGCCAAAGGTAACATCGGCCACCTGGGAGAGACAGGAGCCATGGGAAAAATCGGACCAATCGGAACCACCGGACCAAAGGGCTCTCGAGGAACCATCGGACATGTGGTAAACAGATACATCATCTTGTTAAGTTAGTTTTAGTAATATATCCATCTGACTTTTCTTTTGACCTGCACAAGAAGCCTGTCTGTTTCACCTTCTTTCTCATCTTTATGCCACTGTTGTTTCCATGCGATGTGCTAAAAATTACAATAAAGTTTACATTGACTTTGACTTTCTCGCACTTTCTCAGGGCGCTCCCGGGCGTATGGGGATGCAGGGGGATCCGGGCATATCAGGATATGAGGTGAGAGCAAGAAACAAGTGCAATTAGCATCACACGATCATATTAGCACATTAACAATTGTTCATTTCCACATCAGTGCACTGATTTATCAGCACAAGTCTGCTAGTGCTTGAAAGCTCTTTCTTTCTCTACAGGGTCACAAGGGACCTCAAGGTCCAGTAGGACCCCCGGGACCAAAGGGTGAAAAGGTCAAATGTATTTATGACTCATTTTGTACATAAATGTTCATATATGTGACCTGCACAATTATGTCAACCTTCATGGGTGAATCTATGCTAGAAGTTGACCTAGAATACACAAAGCTTAGCTTTAAAATACAATGAGATTACCTCACAGTGAATTTAAATGCCATGTTAAATGAATATAACAATGAAACAGCATCATAATATTATCATATTTTTTAGTATTAGGCACACTAATATAGGCACACAAACTGCTTTCACTCAGTTTTCTATAATCATCTGATGTTTTGCATTATGTAATGTTCTAGGGTGAACAGGGGGATGATGGGAAGGTGGAGGGTCCTACTGGTCCTCCAGGACTCCAAGTGAGTCTCTCTTATTATCATGTTTAAATCTGTCTGAATTCCTCTAATTTCATTAGCGATATTTGCAGCTTCATGCATGTGTTTGTGTATTTTCAGGGTCCAGTTGGAAAGCGAGGAGACAGGGGCGAGCCGGGAGATCCAGGATATGCGGTGAGATAAGAAAGCATACTGTTGTCTTACTGCATATGAAGCGCATTAGCTCATTTGTTTACGTGCTGTCGGCGCACACCAACATGTGACCATTTCCTATAATAGATTAACAGCTGCCAACTGAAAGGCTGTTTTATATGGTAATTGGCTTAACATAAAAAATATGTTATAGATCACATTAAGATTAAAACCATTTCAAGATGGTTTTGATTTAGGTTCTTTTTAGACTAAAATATCTGCCAGCAAAAATATGCTTTGAGTGGAGATGTATATGTTTTAATTAGATTATAGAACTTTTGATAGAGACTATATACAATATTATTAGCAATGTTTGCTAAGGAAAGCATCACTATTGTCATAAATATTGCTCATTCTTTAGGAGTTTATACAGATCGAATGGTGAGATTTGCATGAACAAACAACACTTCAGATTTTCTTCAGAAAAAATTATTTCTTTTTTAATTTGAGTTATTATTAATAGTTAATAAGTAAAATATATACATTATTAATTTATTAGTTTTAGTTTTATATATATATATATATATATATATATCGCTGCAATACTGTTATAGTTTTTTATTAATTTTCAGTTATTTTAATACAACAAGTTAAACTAAATTAAAATGAGAAATGTAATAAATCATAAATAAATTTTTGTTTTTGTAAAGTTTTGAAATAAATCGTTTTTTAGTATTTTATATGAATTTCAGTTAACGTTTATTTTATTTCATATAATGAAAATGTTTTGAATGGTTTTAGTTTTAGTTAACTATAATAACTCTGGTTTGCATGTGCAGGGTCAGCAAGGTGTTGATGGTTTTCGAGGGAAACCTGGTGCTCCTGGACTACCTGTGCGTATAATAATATGATTATCAGATCATGATTACAGACATACCTGCACTCAAATACACACACAAACACCTTTTTGTTTAATTCTTTTAATGCATTTTTAGGGTGATCCTGGTCCACGTGGGATACAAGGCCCTAAAGGATCCAAAGGAGAACAGGTAACGCTATGATTGCAGCTCATATGTGTGTATCTTTTGCAGGATTTCAGATTTCATTACTTATGTTTTGGAATGGCAGTCGTAAACAACATGTGCTAGAAATCAGAGTCTTGTCACATACTTCAGCAAAATGGGTTAGATGTATGTGTATGTTCATGCTGTATACGATTACTTCTGTGCCTGTGGTTTTCATCTTGGCATTCCTTCTTTTTCTCACATGCTTTGTTATTCTCTGTCACTTTCTCTCTGTCTCAAAGGGTCAGAAGGGTAAACAGGGTCAGCAGGGAGAGCGTGGCAGCAGAGGCTCACTGGTAAGAGGACACAACTCTTTCATTTTAGTAGTAGTAAGAAATACGGGGCTAATATAAACTCAGATTTCAAAGAAATTATCACTGCCAAAGTCATGGGTTTAGTTCCCAAGCAGCAAACAGACGCAGATAAAATTACTTGAATGGACAGTAAGTTACTTTGGATAAAAGCATCTGCCAAATGAAAAAAAATATTTAAATGTAAATAACAATGCTGCATTCAAATTAAGT